GGGCAACCGGTAGCCAATGCAAACCGCGCAGGAGGGGTGTAACATGGGAGTATCACAACCCGCGCGGCTGCATTCTGCACCAGCTGAAGCCTCCGAGTGGTCCTCAAGGGCAGCCCCATGTAGAGAGCATTGCAGTAGTCAATCCATGAGGTGACCAGCGCATGCGTAACTGTGTGTAGTGCATCTCGGTCCAAGTAGGGACACAACTGGCGCACCAGACGTATCTGGGCGAATGCCCCCCTGGTCACGGTCGTTATCTGGTCTTCTAAGCTCAACCGTGAATCCAGAAGGACGCCCAAGTTGCGCACCCTGTCTACAGGGGGCAAAACTTCACCCCCTATAGTCAGCGATGGCACCTCTCCCCTGAACCGAGATGCCGGTACCCACAGCCACTCGGTCTTGGCCGGGTTGAGTTGCAATTTGTTTCTACCCATCCAGACCTGTACCGCTTCCAGGCACCGGGCCATCACATCGAGGGCATCACTGGGTTGGTTCGGGGTGGAAATATAAAGCTGAGTATCATCAGCGTACTGATGATACCTCACCCCAAAACCACGGATGATCTCCCCTAGCGGTTTCATATAGATGTTGAACAGGAGAGGCGAGAGAACCGATCCCTGAGGCACCCCACAAGTGAGGGGCCTCAAGGTCGATCTCTGCCCCCCCGCCAACACCGCTTGTGTTCGACCCGAGAGGTAAGAGGAGAACCACCGTAAAACAGTGCCTCCCACTCCCAACCCCTCGAGGCGACGCAGCAAGATACCGTGGTCGACGGTATCAAATGCCGCTGAAAGATCCAGAAGGACCAGAACAGAGGAATGACCCCTGTCCCGGGCCCTCCAGAGATCATCCACCAGTGCGACCAATGCCGTCTCCGTGCTGTACCCGGGCCTGAAACCCGATTGGTACAGGTCGAGGTAATCCGCTTCATCCAGGACCAGCGGGAGCTGACGTGCAACCACATTCTCAACAACCTTCGCTAAAAAGCGAAGGTTGGAGACTGGACGCAAATGATTTAATACAGCTGGGTCCAAGGCCGGCTTCTTGAGGAGGGGCCTCACCACCGCCTCCTTCAAGGCGATTGGGAAGTTTCCCTCCCTCAAAGAAGCCGCTATCACCGCCTGGATCCAGCCTCGTGTCACCACCCGGGCCAAATAAACCAGCCAGGAGGGACACGGGTCCAACACACAGGTGGTCGCACTCAGCTTCCCCATGATCCTGTCCACTTCCTCTGGGGTAACAGAATCAAACTCTTCCCAAAGCACAGGACCCGCTGTCTCACCCCTGTCTGACTCTGTCCAGTCAGAGTCCAAGTCGTCCCGAATCCGAGCGATTTTGTCCGATAGGTGCTGACCAAACTCCTCGGCTCGTCCCTGTAAAGGATCTTCCCTCACCCTCTGATTTAAGAGGGAGCGGGACACCCTGAACAGGGCAGCCGGGCGATTCTCTGCGGACGCAATGACATCAGTGAAGTAGCAGCGCTTCGCTGCCGCCAACTCCACCAGGTAGGCCCGTGTGGCCGACCTTAATTGAAATCGGTCGGATTCGGAACGGCTTGCTCTCCAACAGCTCTCTAGGCCTCGTCTACGCCGCTTCATCTCCCGGAGCTCCGTGGTAAACCAGGGAGCCAGCCGGGATCTGCGACGAGTCAGAGGCCGCAAAGGAACGACCCGGTCCAGAGCCCCGGTAGCAGCCACTTCCCAGGCCTCCACAAGGGTCGTGACTGGGGCATGGGAGAGAGAGAGAGGAATCATCCCAAATTCCTTCTGGAACCTCTCAGGGTCCATCAGGCGCCTGGGGCAGAACCAGATGGTCGGTTCCGCCAATGCCGTTCCGTGCTGTGCCCATGCCTGAAACCCGATTGGTACGGGTCCAGATAATCTGTTTCCTCCAGGAATTGTTGAAGTTGGTATGCCACCACAGATTCAACAACCTTCGCTATTATTAATGCTTCCCTACAGGAGGGGGTAGTGCCCCAGCATTTTAAGGAGGCTATCGCCCACCCTCTTCTTAAGAAGCCATCCCTGGATCCCACCCTGTTGAATAATTTCCTACCTATCTCCAATCTTATGTTTTTGGGGAAGGTTGTTGAGAAGGTGGTTGTGCAGCAGCTCCAGAGGTTTCCGGATGCAGCTGATTATCTGGACCCCTAACAGTCAGGATTCAGGCCTGGATTTGGAACTGAATCTGCATTCGTCGCACTTTTGTGTGATCTCTGGCAGCGCATCCATCCTTTCTCTACTTGACCTCTCGGCAGCTTTCGATACCATCGACCATGGTATTCTCCTGGGGCGGCTTCAGGGGATGGGAGTGGGAGGCCCTGTGCTATCCTGCTTCACTTCCTTCCTCTGCAGCCGTTCTCAGTCAATGTTGATAGGAGGGGAGAGATCCAGCCCTCCGCCACTGCTTTGCCGGGTTCCGCAGGGCTCGGTACTATCCGCTCCTGTAACATTTATATGAAACCGCTTTGTGAGATCATCTGCTAGCATGGACTGAGATATGACCAATATGATGATGATACTCAGCTGTATGACTCAGCCCATGGTCAGTTAAACGATGCCGTGTCCTCCCTATCACGGTGCCAGGACGCTATTAGAGGCTGGATGGGGAGCAATGGGTTGAAACTAAAGCCTGGCAAGACAGAGTGGCTCTGGGTTTGGGGTTCGTTGGCCAAGGGAGAATTGCCACTTCTGGTCTTGGATGGGATGGCACTACGCCAAACAGACCCTATGCGTAATCTGTGGGTTCTCTTGAACTCACAACTCCTGCTCAAAGAGCAGGTGGCAGTCGTGTGCAGGACGGCCTTTGCGTAACTATGGGTTCTGCGCCAGAAACAGCCCTTCCTGGACCGACAATCCCTACTCACAGTCACTCATGCCCTAATCACTTCCCGTCTTGACTATTGCAACACGCTCTACATGGGGCTGTCCTTGAAGAGCATGTGGAAGTTCCAGTTGGTGTAAAACGCAGCGGCCCACATGGCTTTGTGTAGACCCTGCTGTACACAAGTATCACCTCTCCTGCAGGAGCTGCATTGGCTGCCAATTTCTTTCCTGGTGCAACTCAAGGTGCTGGTTGTCACCTATAAAGCCCTCCATGGCTTGGGACCAGGTTATCTTAGGGACCATCTCTTACTAGTTACATCTGCCCGACCCAGCAGAATGCGGAGGCAGGGAATGTTGCGGGTGCCATCCCCTAGGAAGACACACCTGGTGAGACCCAGAAGAAGGGTTTTCTCCGTGGCGGCTCCCTCTCTCTGGACAATCATCCCCCCAGAGATTAGAATGGCCCCCCACAGTAGCACTCTTCCAGAAGGCATTGAAGACCGGGTTCTGCCAGGGGGCCTGGGAAACCCAGAACGGGATTGGGCCCATTAGACGGCTCTCAGGTGCTTTCGCCGGGGCAAGGGGTGTGGGTGATCTAATTATTTTAATGTATTATATAATTCTCCTTTTATTAGTTTTATTATTTTAATATGGGTTTAATATTTATAAGCCATCTTGAGTAGTCATGTGCGAATAGGCGGCATATAAACTGTCTAAAATAAATCAATAAAATAAATATTTTGTTAGTTATTTATTTTGAAATTATTTATTCCTTACAGAGAAACAAAGAATGAACTTTTCTGGTTTTTATGACGGCGATCAAACAGAGGCTGAACCTCTCAATCAGGTAAGAAAAGGAAAAGTTATAAAGATTTGTATTCTCCCTTCAGGAAGTGAAGTGGGTGTGCAGAATGCTCTCTCCTTCTATTCCCTTGTTTGGACTGGGTTATTTTTGTGTCCTTCCACAACATGGAGAGCAGAATAGCAGGTTGAAGTTGCTGTCAGCCAGCATAGCTTCTTCTGGTTGTCTTGTTCTGCTAGGTGCTCCTCCAAATTTGCCTTTACAAGAAGCAGTTCTTTTAACGTCCTTCGAGAATTAGGAATAAATTCCTTTTATTTTGCTCTTGGAATTTGGGGGGGCAGGAGGGGGGGAGGGATAGGGAGCGGGGAGGGGGGAACAGGTTTGTGCAAAAACTGTAAAACTCTTTAATAAAAAAAAAAGAATTAGGAATAAATGTATCACAGTGGCAGGAATTGCTAGACCACCTTTCTTTTTGTAATTTATCAACCTCCTAAGGTACGGATTAACAGAGTTGGAAGGGACTTTGTAGGTCATCTAGTCCAACCCCCTAACTCCATTTCTGATAGTTGGCAGTCTAGTCGCTTCTGGAATGCATCCAGTGATGAAGCTCCCACTTCTGAAGGGACCATTGGTTGATTGCTTTCACTGTCAGAAAATGTCTCCTTATTTCTAGGTTGAATCTCTCCTTGTTCCGTTTCCATCCATTATTCTATGTCTGGTACTGCTTGGAACACTGCTATCGTTTCTCTCCTGGTCCTTCTCTTCACTAGACTAGCCATGCCCAGTTCTTGCACCCGTTCATGTTTTAGCCTCCAGTCCACTCATCTCGGTTGCTCTTCCTTGCACTCTTTCTAGACTCCCAAGATCTTTGTTACATCATGGCAACCAATACCGGATGCAAAGTTCCTAAGTGTGATTTTACAAAGCCATTCTAAAGTGGTACTAATACTTCATGTGATCTTGATTCTATCCCTCTCTTAATGGAGCCTATGATTCTGTTGGAGTTTTTTTTTTTTGGCAACTGTAGCACACTGCTGGCTCACGTTTAATTGATTGTCCACTAGGACTCCAAGATCCCTGTTCCACTTTCTACTGTAGAGCCAGGCATCACCTATCCTATGGCAGTGCATTTGGTTTTTCTTTCCTAAATGTAGCACATTACATTTCTCAACATTGAAGTTCATTTTGTTAGAAGGTGCCAATCTGTCAATCCTTCTATATCTCGAGCCTATCTTGTGGAGTGTTCGTATTCCTGTCAATTTGGACTTGTCTGCAAATTTGATGAGTTCCCCTTCTATCCCCTTGTCTAAATCATTGATGATGATGAACAGATCTTGCGAATCCTCCTGTTCTGTTCTTTTTTCCGTGTTCAGGAGAGTCTTGTGTCCTTCGAGGAGGTGGCTGTGTATTTCTCTGAGGAGGAATGGTCTCAGCTGGATCCTGACCAGAAAGCGCTGCATTCGGAAGTCATGCTTGAAAACTATAGGAACGTGGTCTCTCTCGGTAAGTTTTCTTGTCCCAAATTGGAGAGTTCAAGAAGACAGATGATAGATAGTTTTTATTACAAAATCACTAATCAGATATCGTCTCCCAGGAGGGAGAAGGAAAGTATCTGGCCTTCTCGTACCCCAAGGAAGGAAAGAATCAGTGTCTCTTTGCTGAGGTCCTTTTGGGGCATTCCTTATCTGTATTTTTCCATTTCTATTTGAACTTATCTGTGGAGGCTGAGAAGAACGGGTTTGCTTTTATGTGTCCTCTGGAGATCATGTGACAAGAAGGTGTTGTCATTTGTCCTCTGAAACCTTCCCAAATTGTGTGGGAACAGAACTTTCACGCTCAGGCCATGGAAGAGCATTCTCCCAGTCCAATTCAAGAACAAAGGCCTCATGCAGTGTGACTCAGAGTATCCTAGGATACAGGTATTCCCCGAGTTACAACAGTTTACTAAGCGACTGTTTCAAGTTACGACCTAGCCGTCTCCCAAGTACTTAAGACTCAGTCCTGAAATTACAAATGTTACAGCACCAGGGCTGTCATTCACACTTTCAAATGACAGCAGAGGCCTTGCAACACAATCATCCTACCTGCACCTCCACCCCACCCTGCTCGGACTTACATTACGAGGACGTAGCGAGCCGTCGGTTCCTTTGCCTGCTTGGGTGCATTTGCAGAAAAAAGAGGCCTAAAATAGTGAGAGATACACAAGATCAACAGTGGGAAATCTGGCACTACTGATTTCACAGAATCTCGCACTAGAGTACTTTAGGCCTCTGTTCTCTGCTCACCAAGGGCTGCACGAGATCCAGGACAAAATGCTTTGGGAATAAAGGGCCTTTTTGTTTTCAAAAACTTTTGCCCTGGATCTCGTGCAGTCCTCAGTTTATAGGGAACACAGGCTAAAGTACTGCAGTGTGAGATCCTGCAAGATCATTAGTGTGAGATCTTGCACTTCACGTCTTGTGTGATCTCACACTAAAGTAGTTTAGGCCTCTGTTCTCTGCGAAGTAAAGCCTGTACCAGATCCGGCCAAAAAACCCTTGCCAGCCGATGACACTGTGGGGCAGCAAAATAGCCATTCTTGAAGCCTCCCAACCTTTCCACTCTCAGTTCGAAGAGCATTTACAAGCCAATGGGAGGCTTCAATCAAGGGACTTCCCTCCAAAGTCTCATCGTTGGGATCAAGGAATGGGCCGAGTGGGAGTCCTGCCTGCCAGACAGACGCCGTGAAGTAGCTGCTCCAAGGTACACCGGGGAAGAAAGAGCTTTTTTCAAAATGGTTTCAATTCTCACAGGTCTCTGCTGAAATTAACTCACCTCAATAAATCTTAAGTTTTCTCCTTATTCCTCCTTGGGTGTTTCCCCTGATTATTCCTTTACTCAAAACAGACTTTGATTGAGATCTGCATATATATAGATAATTGTAAAGAAAGAGATGTTTTCTAGATATTTTCAAAGCTTTCAGGACTCATGAATATAGAAATCATCTATATCACGCCACTGTAAACATGCAAACATAAAACTGAAAGGAATTCTGGAAAAATTCAGAAGGAAATTCACTTGACTTTGTACGGTTTGATCTTTTTCTCTAACCTTCTTATCGTTTTCATTTCTCTTTTGCTTTGAAGGTAATAATGGGCAGAAGAATCAAGATTCCTGTGAACTGTTCCAAGTGATCAATGCTAAAGATGGAACGGAGAAGTTTGGAATTCGAATGGAATTAGAAACCCATGAGAGAAAACAGTCAAATGATTGGAATCAGGAAAGCTCATCGTCCACCGATGGTCCGATGCAAGACTTTCTTGCCCAAAAGGGGAAAATAAGGAAAAAATATATTGGGGAAAGAGTGAAGCCAATCAAAGCTATATTACAAGTAAAAGACCACTGTTTAAGCCAAAACAAAGGAGAAGATGCTATAAGAAGACACAACGGACAAAGTTACAATGGGACATTCATTCCTTCTCTTGGAAATAAGTTACTTACATCTCAAAAAGTGATTGACACAAAAGAGAAGCCTTACAAATGTTTGGAATGTGGAACTTGTTTTAGAACAAGCAGGCAACTTACTTCCCATGAAGGGATTCACACTGGGGAGAAGCTATACAAATGCAGAGAGTCTGGTAACAGGTTCAGAAGACGTAGTAATCTTACTTCCCGTAAAAGGATCCACTCAGGAGAGAATCCGTATAAATGCATGGAGTGTGGAAAGACCTTTGCTCAGAGCAGTGTCCTAAGAGTACACGAAAGGCTCCACACAGGGGAGAAGCCATATAAATGCATGGATTGTGGAAAGACCTTTGCTCAAAGAGGTCATCTAATTTCCCATAAGAGGATCCACACAGGGGAAAAGCCATTTAAATGCATGGAGTGTGGAAAGACCTTTGCTGAGAGCTCTGCCTTAAGAACACATGAAAGGCTCCACACAGGGGAGAAACCATATAAATGCATGGAATGTGGAAAGAGCTTTGCTCAGAGCTCTGTCCTAAAAGCACATGAAAGGCTCCACACAGGGGAGAAAGTGTATAAATGCTTGGAGTGTGGAAAAACCTTTGCTCGAAGAGGTCATCTTATTTCCCATGAGAGTATCCACACAGGGGAAAAGCCATTTAAATGCATGGAGTGCGGAAAGACCTTTGCTCGAAGAGGTTATCTTGTTTCCCATGAGAGTATCCACACAGGGGAAAAGCCATTTAAATGCATGGAGTGTGGAAAAACCTTTGCTCGAAGAGGTCATCTTGTTTCCCATGAGAGTATCCACACAGGGGAGAAGCCGTATAAATGCATGGAATGTGGAAAGACCTTTACTCATAGAAATGGACTTACTCTCCACAAAATAATCCACACAGGGGAAAAGCCATTTAAATGCATGGAATGTGGAAAAACCTTTGCTCGAAGAGGTCATCTTGTTTCCCATGAGAGTATCCACACAGGGGAAAAGCCATTTAAATGCATGGAGTGCGGAAAGACCTTTGCTCGAAGAGGTTATCTTGTTTCCCATGAGAGTATCCACACAGGGGAAAAGCCATTTAAATGCATGGAGTGTGGAAAAACCTTTGCTCGAAGAGGTCATCTTTTTTCCCATAAGAGGATCCACACAGGGGAGAAGCCGTATAAATGCATGGAATGTGGAAAGACCTTTACTCATAGAAATGGACTTACTCTCCACAAAATGATCCACACAGGGGAAAAGCCATTTAAATGCATGGAATGTGGAAAGGCCTTTGCTCAAAGAGGTCATCTTATTTCCCATAAGAGGATCCACACAGGGGAAAAGCCATTTAAATGCATGGAGTGTGGAAAAACCTTTGCTCAGAGCTCTGTCCTAAGAGCACACGAAAGGCTCCACACAGGGGAGAAATCATATAAATGCATGGAATGTGGAAAGAGCTTTGCTCGAAGAGGTTATCTTGTTTCCCATGAGAGTATCCACAGAGGGGAAAAGCCATTTAAATGCATGGAGTGCGGAAAGACCTTTGCTCAAAGAGGTTATCTTGTTTCCCATGAGAGTATCCACAGAGGGGAAAAGCCATTTAAATGCATGGAGTGCGGAAAGACCTTTGCTCAAAGAGGTCATCTTGTTTCCCATAAGAGGATCCACACAGGGGAAAAGCCATTTAAATGCATGGAGTGCGGAAAAACCTTTGCTCAGAGCAGTGTCCAACGAGCACATGAAACGCTGCACACAGGGGAGAAGCCGTATAAATGCATGGAATGTGGAAAGACCTTTGCTCAAAGAGGTAATCTTATTTCCCATAAGAGGATCCACACAGGGGAGAAACCGTATAAATGCATGGAATGTGGAAAGATCTTTGCTCAAAGAGGTCATCTTATTCGCCATAAGACAATCCACACAGGGGAGAAACCATTTAAATGCATAGAATGTGGAAAGATCTTTGCTCAAAGAGGTAGTCTTATTCGCCATAAGATGATCCACACAGGGGAGAAACAATTTAAATGCATGGAATGTGGAAAAACCTTTGCTCGAAGAGGTCATCTTATTCGCCATAAGACAATCCACACAGGGGAGAAACCATTTAAATGCATGGAATGTGGAAAGATCTTCGCTCAAAGAGGTAGCCTTATTCACCATAAGACGATCCACACAGGGGAGAAACAATTTAAATGCATGGAGTGTGGAAAAATCTTTGCTCGAAGAGGTCATCTTATTCGCCATAAGACAATCCACACAGGGGAGAAACCATTTAAATGCATGGAATGTGGAAAGACCTTTGCTCAAAGAGGTAATCTTATTTCCCATAAGAGGATCCACACAGGGGAGAAACCGTATAAATGCATGGAATGTGGAAAGATCTTTGCTCAAAGAAGTCATCTTATTCGCCATAAGACAATCCACACAGGGGAGAAACCATTTAAATGCATGGAATGTGGAAAGATCTTTCCTCAAAGAGGTAGTCTTATTCGCCATAAGACGGTCCACACAGGGGAGAAACAATTTAAATGCATGGAGTGTGGAAAAACCTTTGCTCGAAGAGGTCATCTTATTTGCCATAAAACAATCCACACAGGGGAGAAACCATTTAAATGCATGGAATGTGGAAAGGCCTTTGCTCGAAGAGGTCATGTTATTCGCCATAAGACCATCCACACAGGGGAGAAACCATATAAATGCATGGAGTGTGGAAAGGCCTTTGCTCAGAAAGGTAGTCTTACTTCTCATAAAAGGATCCACGCTCAGGGGAAACTGCATAGCAATAGTAATTCCACTTAGACTTATATAACACTGCACAATGCTTTACAACACTCTCTGAGCAGTTTACAAAGTCAGCATATGGTCTCCAGCAATCTGGGTCCTCATTTTACCCACCTCAGAAGGATGAAAGCTGAATCAACCATGACCCTGTCAGAATCAAACTTCTGGCTGTGGGCAATTAGCCTATAGTACTGCATTCTAACCACTGATCCACCACATCTCTATAGATTTTGATCTGTATGCATATTGTGCCTTTTGGATCCAAATGAGACAAGGTAGAATCCAAGAAAATGAAATTTAATGTGGAGAAAAGTAACCTTTTACACCTGGGCAGGAAAAACAGATTACCTGAAACCTGGCTCGAACATAGTAACTGTGAAGGGTCCTTGGAGTCCGAATGGATGATCAATTAAGCATGAATCACCTGTGTGCGGCAGCAGCCAAAAAAGCGAATAAAATCCTTGGTTGTATAAACAGAGGCATAGAATCAAAATCACATGAAGTATTAGTACCGCTCTATAAAGCCTTAGTAAGACCATACCTGGAATACTGGTTGATTCAGGAGATTTCAAACGCTTCTGCGTATGTGCAGAAGAGCGTGTGCATGCACGAGGGCCCCCGCTGCAAACCGGTAGTAAAGGTAAGTAGAACCCACCTCTGGGGGCGGGGGCACTGAGGAGGAGTTTGTAGTACCAAGGGGGCTGAAAAAGAAGCCCAACAAATCGATGATATTTTACAAATTTTATATTTTTGAAGGTTTCTGAAGTAACTAATTCATCAACTTTTTTTTCGTATGGACCCTTTTCCTTTCGAAGCATTTGAAATGCTTTAATAGATCTTATCGCAAGTTCTTCAGCCTTTATTATGTGTACATGTTTTGCTTGCAGTGCATTTGAAAGAAGAGAAATTTCATTTAGAATATCAATCATCAATGCCAAATCAGTTATAAAATAGATATTTTCAAGACGGACAGCCATACCTAAGTATTTTTCATTTGAATGAAAACAGTGATGTAGCGCTGGATAAGCGGGCCACACAGCTAGGGTTGACCTTAAACTACAGGCAGCCCATCGTGGTCCCAAAATACTACCAATTTTTATAATTTCAATTCCAAGTTGTTCCGATATTTTGGTAAGTTCAATTTGGTTCTTATTGGATTGATGAAAAATAGTATATAGCTTATCAATAAATATTTTAAAATGATTTACTTGCTTTATTTCCTTTATCAAATCATCTAAAACAAGTTGGAGGCGGTGGTTTAAACAGTGCCAGATTACTATGTTTGGAAACTCTTTTGCTATCCTGGTGCTCACTCCAGATTTTCTCCCAAGCATAACGCTGGCGCCATCAGAGCAAAATCCTATTAAATTTTTTTTTAGATAGTTCTTAGTAAGCCCAACATTATTTAAACTTTGCATGACTGAAGAATATATTGTCTCTGCATCTTGTTTTTCCAATTCAATTAGCTCAAGGAAAATCGTTGGTGATGTATCTGAATCCTCAACTTTTAAGAAAAGTATCACAACTGGTTTGCAAGATACTGTTGAGGCTTCGTCAATAATCAAACATATTTTCAGATTATTTTCAATAATTTTAGTAAATAATTGTTTTTTAATTTCTCTTGCAATGAAATCAACTATTTTCACTGCAGTTTTACTTGAATGTAATCCTATTCCCATATCTAATCCATTTTTAATTTGCATTTCTATCTCATCTTCTGTGTCTGAAAATGGTTTACATCTTTGTGCCAGGCTGTAAACTGTATTAAATACTCTACAAGTAGTTTGTATATATTTCTCATTCATCTTATATTTTGCTGTTGAAGCCTCCTCACCTTGTTTTATGTTCTCTTTACAAATATTATGAGCTTTTGATGAAAAATGTTCTTTCATTTTTTTCCTTAGAGAAGCTTGTTTTACCTCTCTATTTCTCCCTGCTGCCTCAATCTGAAAATGTTCCCATTCTTTTGACACATGAACACTTTTCATTTTTAGGAAGTCATGTTTTGCACAATACTTGCAACCTAACTTTTTGTTAGAAATTTCCAAACCGTCATATTTTTCTTTGAAATTGTTATATTGTTGCATTGTTCAGCATTCAGGAAGATTGTTTTCAATTTTGGAGGTATCGTTATTTATTTCAATAACTGACAGGCTGCTTTCTCCTGGTTGGAGTGGTTGTGCTTGTTGTGCTTGTGACTGCTTTATATCATCCAAGGCCATTTCTGATACAACGGATTCCAATCTTGGTTTCTTACTGATTCTTACTGAAAAATTTTGTTGCCTTTTCATCCTGTTAAGGGCAACTGCAAAAAATTTTTTTAAATGTTTTAGTTTGGACTCGATTGTGGTTGTACGTTACCTGTATTCCAGGGGTGAAACCTAAAATTTTTTGCTACCGGTTATGTCTCCTCCTGCAAGGCCTCTGGATGGGACTGTAGTAGTAGACTGTAGAAACAGCTCCTGATGCACCTGGGTGGAAGAGCTGCTCTGGGATGACTAACAGGCCAGTCCTGTGAGTGAGACTACAGCTCTGGAATATGGGACTGGCCGTGGTGGGGCTGGAAATCTCTGCCTGGGGTGGCACGTGCAATGTGCAACTTTGCAGGTGGTGCAATACGCAAAAAGTAGCGCAGCCCTCGCCGTCCAGAATGAAATAATGGCGTTATTGTGGCGGCGGGGGAGGGGTGGCACAATCGGGCAGAAGCGGCAGTTGCGATGGCTGGAACCTGCGGGAGTGAAGCACTATTTTCATTTGCGTGGCAACAGCATTCCACCTAGGCATATTTGTGCCAGCCGATGGCACAAGGCAGCCCTCGTCTCCTGCCGCTTGGGACTCTGAGCGGTAAACGGTGTTTGATCCGGGGAGCAGCCGAATTTTGCTCTTCATTGCGGATGCCAGATTGGCCCCCTGCAAGCTCTTACCTCTCGAGGAGCACTCCCTGAAGCGGCGTGGGAAACTTTGGTCGGACTCCTTGAGAGACGAGAGCTTGCAAGGGCCGATCTGGTGTCCGCAATGGAGAGCAAAATCCGGCTTCTTCTCTGCTGTATTGCGGCATCAGGATTCCGCCTTGGTATATTTGCAGCGCAAGGCAGCCCTCGTTTCCTGCCGGTTGGGACTCAGAGTGGTAAACGATGTTTGGTCTGGGAAGCAGACGGATTTTGCTCTCCATTGTGGACGCCAGATCGGCCCCCCTCGCCGCTTCAGGGAATGGTCCTCGAGAGACGAGAGCTTGCAGGGGGCCGATCTGGCATCCGCAATGGAAAGCAAAATCTGGCTGTCCCCTGGACCAATCGCCATTTACTGCTCCGAGTCCCAAGCGGCAGGGGACGAGGGCTGCTTTGCACTACTGGCTGGCGCAAATATACTGAGGTGAATGCTGATGCCACTCAAGTTCAAGTGCTTCACTCCCACACTTCTTCTGGCCCTTGTTCATGCTCTGCGCACCTCGGTCTCTCAGGGAGATGCTTGACTTCCTCTCAGCCCCAAGACACTGGCTGGCCCATGAGATGAGAGAATGAGAGAGAGAGAAAGAGAATGAGAGAATCGGAATGAGACAAAGAGAGAAAGAATGAAAGAGAGAATCAAAGAGAGAGAGAGAGAGTGGGGGAGGGAGAGAGAGTGTGAGAAAGAGAGGGGGGAGAGAGAGGAGGGAGAGTCCTGAAGGACCCCATCCTGTCACTGGGAGTCCAGGCACTTCAGCAGGCGGCGCGCTGGATTCGTATTAGTGGTCCGTGGAATTTAAAATTATGAACTTGGGGACCCCTGATCTAAGAAGCTTCTTCTGAAGAAGCTTCTTGGATGAGAAATAAAATGTTGACCTGGATGCCCATTCGCTGCCGCCGCTCCATAGATGACATATATTAAGATGTATATTAAGACCCCCCTTTGAGCTCTGAAGATGAAGGTCTGTCACCTGCAGCTCGACCTGCTTTTTCTTCTCTTCCTCCTGGCTCAAGAGGAAGCCTTCCGCAAGGGCCACTACCTGGGAGCTGGTCTCTGCTCCACACTCCTGCACCCACCTCTGCATCTCTGGGGGCAGAAGGAACAGGAGCTGCTCCAGAAAAACCAGGTCCAGCATCTGTGCCTTTGTATGTCTTTCTGGCTTCAACCACTGATGGCAAAGGCGATGGAGTCGGCTGCAAAGTCCTCGGGGCCCTCAGCCTCCTGGTAATACACCTTCCTGAAGTTTTGACGCTGGACCTCTGAGCTGATAGAATCTTCCTCTGGATTCTTCTGTTTTTATCTTGACCTCCACATAGTTCCCAAACTGAGCAGCAGGAGGGCTTTGTCCAACTTCTGCATCTAATGGGTATTGTCCCTCCATTTTTTCTTTATTCTGTAATCCAGGTGCAAAAGATGCTAACAGCTGCTTGGATCTCCAAGACCAAGGATATGAAATGGGCCAATGGATCTCCACCGGACTTATATTTCTCTGGACAAATCTCGGTACATCAGCTAGCCTTCCTTACGTATGAGATAGTTTGGTCCACAAACAACTTCTACCTGCGAGTTTGAAAAGAAAACAAGATTTCAGAATCAATGTTGCATTTTCAGCTGTTTTATACCTCTTTTTTGTTTCCGGGTGGGCCTAAGCCAGAGCAGAAAAAGCATGTGAGTCTCTCTGGATAGTAGAGGTAGAAGGAAAAACTTCAGGAACCATCAATAACCCAGAATATAGAAGGTATACTGTATTTTTCAGATTATAAGACATTCCGGAGTATAAGATGCACCTTAGTTTTTGTGGAGGAAAATAAGAAAAAAAAAATCTGCCTCTGCCTACCAACATCCATCGGTTTTTCTCTGGCTAGTGCCCTGTCAGTGTGTGAGAGAGTTGAGGGCTGTTTGGAAACTGAAACAGTATTTGCTGTGTGAGCAATAAGGAAGGAGACATCAAGGATCCTGGGCATGGCTTAAGGCTCAAATGTTCTGTACTAAAACTGCATGCTGTGCTGATCTCTGAAACTAAAACTGAAACTCCTCCCCTCTGCTTGTGTTTTGCTTGCATTTACTACTGCGTTGGAAAACCTGCTTTTGGTATTGTATATTTACTTCATGTATTACATTATATATTTATATATAATGTAAAGAACTTATTGAATCCTGCCGAATCAGTTACTTGTGTATGCTTTCTGGATGTGATTGCTGCTGCAAACTCTGACACGTCCTTGCAGCAAATAACGAACAGCCAGGTCAGCTTCAGCTGTTGCTTGTTAGACCAATTACCAGAACAAATAGACACAGGAACTAGACAGATTTCTCAACCCTGCTTCTTTTCAGGAACAGAGAGTTAACTTCTTCCTTCCAAACAAAGGAAAATATCCCATAAATAAACACCAGAATTAAATGTTACCTAACCACTTCCCCAAGGAGAGCTGATGGCCCCTTCCCAGCCCCTCTCCTCCCACCTCCCATGTTCTTGCCCCTTACTGGGGATCTCCTTTGCTTCCAGCGGCCTCACCAGCAATATCAGGGGGATTCTTCTGCTCCCAAAGAGAGAGGGAGAAAGACGCGGATGCTTCCAGCCCCAGAGACACAATCAGTGGGTCGGGATTGGGGGGGGAGGAGTTTTCTTAGAACTTCGGGATTGGGAGGGGCCCAGAAAAATGGAAGGACCAATAAGAATTCTCCCTTCCACCACGTCATCGGTTTGTGGGCATAGTCTCTCTTGTCTTCACCAACCTGAGGAGAGTTCCAGGCAGAGACAAGTGGAGAAAGTGGGAGCAGGGTCCCTTCAGTCTTTTGGTGGGGAGGGGACGCAGATTAAGGGGCAGGTCATGGCTGCCCGTGTGTGCACTTCTTTTTGCCCCCACTGGATCCTACCTGGAGTGGAGTGCCCCTCTCCCAATCACGTGGGGTCACTCTCCTGCCCACCTCTCCCAAAACCTTCTGCCTTTTGAGCCCTTCCTGGCAAAGAGGGCAGGTTTTCCCCAGACCTGTGGGGTTTTCTGACCCACCACAAATAGCAGAAATACCTGTGCAGCTTCCCCCACCCCCACTGAAGTGGAATCCAGCATTTTGAGGGCAGGGAGGAGTCCTGCTTGCCTTTTGTAATGCAAGCCTTCCCTCTCCCCTCACTCCCATTCAGGGGCTTTCTCGGGAAATGGGGAGGGGGAGATGGAGGCCCCCACAGGATCCCCTCCTCCTTCCTGAGGATACTGCTGCATTTCTTCCAGGGAGGAGGAAGTAACAAGGCTGGTCTGAAACTTTGTCTTCATCCTCCTAGGTAAGGGGACACATGGGGCCAGGGCCTTCCCCTGCTCCTTGCTAGGAATCCAAGGACTGGATGAGACCCCCTTGCAAACACTAGCATGAGGATCCCCCCCAGAGAAAAGACCCCCCCTCACCAGACAGCAGGGCATAAATCCTAGGGAGGCCAGAGATTAACCACCTTCCTTCCAAACAAAGCTGAATAGGGAAATTATCCCATCAATAAAGACAGAATTAAATGTCACAAAAAACCAATTTTAGACCAAAACTCAGAAAGGGTATATAAAATCAATCAATGTCAATCTTCCTAGCTAGCCAAGAAACCTTGCTAAATTTCACTCATCTTGGTTCCTTGTCATTAAAAGCTGCTTTCCGGCAGCTCTGCTTCGTTATTCAATTTATTCTTCAAAGTGTTGATCATTAGTATCTGGAAGAAATCCAACAGGGGAGAATTTCTTCCCAATACTACTGAGTCCTTTGGTGCCTTCTCTCTCTCTCTCTCTCACACACACACACACACGCACACACACACACAAAACCTTCCACATAGTGCCCCTCCCTAATCACGTGGGTTCCACCCTTCCGACAGAGGGAGAAAGAGGCAGGTGCTTCCAGCACGCGGGGAGGAAACGGTGGGTCTGGCTTGCGGGGGAGAAGTTTTCTTAGAATTTCGGGATTGGGAGGGGCCCAGAAAAACGGAAGGACCAATGAGAATTCTCCCTTCTGCCGCGTCATCGGTTTGTGGGCAGAATCTCCCTTGTCTTCACCCACCTGAGGAGAGAGAAGAGGAGAAAATGGGAGGGGGTCCCTTCAGTCTTTTTTTTTTACAATAGAATAGAATTCTTTATTAGCCAAGTGTGATTGCACACACACAAGAATTTGTCTTGGTGCATACGCTCTCAGTGTACATAAAAGAAAAGATACGTTCATCAAGAATCATAAGATACAACACTTAATGATAGTCATAGGGAAACAGTCAATATAAATCGTAAGGATACCAGCAACAAGGTTACATTCATACAGTCATAAGTGGTAGGAGATGGGTGATAGGAACGATGAGAAGATGATGCAGACTTAGACACTTTGACAAACTGTTTGAAACTAGTTTGACAGTGTTGAGGGAATTATTTGTTAAGCATAGTGATGGCGTTCGGAAAAAACTGTCCTATCTAGTTGTTCTGGTGTGCAGTGCTCTATAGCGTTGTTTTGAGGGTAGGAGTTGGAGTTTTTGTCCAGGATATGAGGGGTCTAAATATTTTCACAACCCTCTTTTGACTCGTGCAGTATACAGGTCCTCAATGGAAGGCAGGTTGGTAGCCATTGTTTTTTCTGCAGTTCTAATTATCTTCTGAAGTCTGTGTCTGTCTTGGGGGCAGATCAAGGGGGGGGGGGGTCATGGCTGCCCCGGAGGAGAGTATGGACTTCTTTTTGCCCCCTTTGGATCCTACCTGGAGTGGGAGTGTCACTCCCCCAATCACATGGGGTCACTGTCGTGCCCACCCCTCCCGAAAGCTTCTGCCTTTTGAGCCCTTCCTGGCAAAGAGGCAGCCGAGGTTTTCTGACCCACCATAAATAGCAGAAATACCTGTGCAGCTTCCCCACCCCGCATTTTGGGGGCAGAGAGGAGTCCTGCTTGCCTTTTGTAATCCAAGCCTTCCCTCTCCTCCCATTCTGGCAATGAGGAGGGGGGAGATGGAGGGCTCCCCCACATCCCCTCCTTCCTGGGGATGATGCTGTGTTTCTTCTAGGGAAGGGGAAGCAACATGGGTGGTCTGAAACTCTTGTCATTCCCTCCCCCACCCCCCATAGATGGATGCAAAGGGACGGCAGGGGAACATGGGGCCACGGCCTTCCCCCGCCCCTTGCTAGGATTCCAAAGACTGGATGAGGCCTTTGCAAGACTCCCTTGAAAGTCCCAGCATGAGGTCCCCCCCTCAGAAGAACCCCACCCACTCACTAGGCAGTGCTCGTGCCTTGCATAAGATCTGAGTCAACCAGGATGAATGCAGAAGCGGGAAACCTTTTTCAGTCAAAGACCTCTTATGATGTGATGGAATAATGACAGATGTCAATGTAGAGTGTGTGCGAATAGCTTCAGGGTGAACATCTTGTAAGATGAAACAATTGCATAGGGAAAAAATATTTTTCAAGTATTAGCACCATCCTCTTGTCTTTTTATGGTGTGTCAAAACGTTAAGATAACCTAAAATTAAGTAACTAAATTAAGTACTTCCTAACAAGCATAAAATTTTCTTTGTTGCATTAAAACTTACTAACCCACTAAAGTGTATGGATGACCTTGGGGGGGGGGCATATTTCAGCTGCTGGTTGGTTGAAGCTGTTTTTTCAAATATCCTTATTAAATATTTTATGTCAAACTGGAGAAAAAAAGAAATAGATACAGAAAGGAAAATCAGACGTTACTTCCATTTTTTGAAATGGATTTTTAACCACTTTCCCATACTTTTAGATTTTGTTTTGCTCACTGTAGCTAACCTCTGTATGTCATTGTTGACTCCAAATCTGGTTGAATGTTTTCATAGAAATGGAGCCTTCACCTTTTCTTGGTCTGCTTTTCCTTTTTCCTTTTCTTTCTCTCTTTTCATTTATGGTCTAATAATATATCCTTGCCTTAAATTCTTCAAGGCACTTAAGCTTCCTAGTCACATTTCTTGAGGTGAATTTCCTACTCAATCCCTATGTAAAAATGGTTTTTCCTCATCATAGTTTAGCTTTCCATTCCTTTTTCAGGATCTTCCTTTTCTTTCATCAGAAGAGACCGGAGGGGTCCCTTTTCTTTCTCCTCCCGCCTTTGCTGAGAGGCTGAGCAAATAGTTTGGGAAGGGCAGCTGCATGTATTGAATTAGAGAAATAAAAAATAAATAAATTAAAATCATTTTCCTGATTGTGGCTTTCCTGCCTGTGTCCCATCTGCCTCCCCTTCAGGTGGGAGTTCCCAACAACCACAAGACACAAGCTGTCTTTCCCACAGAGGCTCCTGGTCCTCCTCTTCTGACTGCCCGGCTGTTTCTGACAGGATTTCGACCCTTTGGAGGCCTCCCACAATGTCTGTCGAGCCTTCAGGGCGGCTGTCCTTGAGGGAAGCGAGTTCAAATCCTCCAGAGAGATTTTTCTTCATCTCCACAGAGGATTCCTGGACAGGACAGGAGAGGAAGATAGAGAAAGTACCGCCTCTGGAGACGTTGAAGCCTTTCTCTATCAGGGAGCAATGGAGAGGGGCCTTTCTCCTATTCCCAAGCCCATCATCCCTGTCCTCTCCCTTCCCCTCAGACGCGCTCTTCTTTCCCGCCCTTTTTACAATCATGGCACTTTGCCCCTAACCCACCAGGGGGAGCCCTCTGCTAAAAGAAGGTAGCGTCATGCGCTTCCCCATTGGTCCAGCGGAGGGCGAACGTCACAGCTGCCTTTCCTGAGGAGGCCGGGGAGGAAATGACATCACAAACGCTTGCCGCTCTAGGACGCCGCACTCGCTCTCCTTAACCCCTGGGGCTCCACAGGAGGCGGAGAGGCTGCGGGAGAGTCTGGCGGGGGGAGATCCGGACGTGGCTCGGGTGAGTTGGGGGCTCTTCCCGGGCAAAGGGAGGCAGAGGAGGGAGAGACCCCCGCCCGGCCCTCCTACAGCTTCAACCCCAGATCCCATGCTCCCCAGCTGCCCTCTCCATGCGAAGAGCCCAAGTGGGGGGAGGGGAGGGTCAGCCTTGTTGTTCAGTGGCTCAATTCCACTTTCTAATTCTTGGTATTTATTTTTCTTTCCCTCTCAGATACACAAAGTCGAAACTATTTGAAATCTTTGCAAACCAATTTTTTTCTCTTGGGGGAAGAAGAAAAAGAGCGGAATCCCTTGCAGGGATCAGTCCTGCAGCCCCAGAAATGGTCCCGTGAAGGAAAAGGCATCTGGAGACCCACCAGAGTCCTTGGAGCCATTTGCAGTTGCTCTGCAGGACAGAGAAAGGATGGAGACACAACCTTTTGGAAAGGAGGGAAGCGGAAAAGGCCCTTCAGCTGCTCAGCCTTGGAAGGGGGGAAAGCTCTGGACAAGGACTGGACAGGAGATCCTGGAGGAGGAAACCATCCTCCCTTCAGAAGTTCAGCCCTGGAACTTCACCCAATGCCAGGAGGCTGAGGGTCTCCGAGGATTTTGCAGCCATCTACATGATTTTAGTAGGCGATGGCTGAGATCAGAAAAGCACACCAAAGAGCAGATGCTGGACCTGGTGGTTCTGGAGCAGTTCCTGGCTCTTCTGCCCCCAAAGATGGAGAGCTGGGTGCGGGATTATGGAGCGGAGACCAGCTCCCAGGCGGTGGCCCTGGTGGAAGGCTTCCTCCTGAGCCAGATGGAGGAGCAGAAGGAGCAGGTCGACTTGCAGGTAAGAGTTCAATAGAGAGTAGAGAATATGTTTGAATACTTCACCCCTCCTTCCCAAACTTCTGTTACATTCATAATATGTGGCGGTCCCACCTATTCTAGTAAGACATTGTTCCATTGTTTTCTCACTCAACCACATGGATGGATATTGGGGGCTTTGAGGTGGCGTTCTGAATATAGGAATCCACTTTATGTCGTGTGGTGTCCATTAATTCTGCTTCTTCCTTCCTCCTATTGGAAGTGCTGCACTGTGGAGATCAGAGGTCCTGAGGGAAAGAAGAACCCATCAAATCCCCCTCAGGAGCTATTTTTCAGGAGGATCCCTTGGAAGGATCAAAGTCACTACACCTCAGGAGGTAACTGAAGATCGTCTGATTACCCATCAGTCTTACCTTCGCTTTCTCTTCTTTTCTATACAATACCTCCTCCTATTTATACTCCTCCACACTAATTGCATCTACAGATAGTTGCCCAGTGACTCTCTTTAGGTGAGCCTCCTCCTCTTGGGGAAGGAGGAGATTGAGGTCCACCTGAAGTGGTGAGGTATTTTTTCGTTTTTCTGGAAGACAAAATCGCTCGACTTGGTTCCCAGTTGGATGCCAGCGTGGTTGCTGGTCTGCTAGAAGCTCTTGAGGAAGCTTCTTGCTATCTTATCTGGGAACAGTTTGACCCCCTTGCTCCTGAAGAAGTGGACAGGATCCTAGGGAGTATGGATGGGTGCAAGCACCTGTGTTTTAGACCCATGCCCTGCCTGGCTTCAGAAAGCTTCCCAGAAGATTACAGGTGGATGGACTCTGGCGGTGATTAATGCTTCCCTACAGGAGGGGGTAGCGCCCCAGCATTTTAAGGAGGCTGTGGTCCACCCTCTTCCTAAGAAGCCATCGCTGGATCCCACCCTGTCTCCAATCTTACCTTTTTGGGGAAGGTTGTTGAGAAGGTGGTTGTGCAGCAGCTCCAGAGGTTTCCGGATGAAGCTGATTATCTGGACCCCTAACAGTCAGGATTCAGGCTTGGATTTGGAACTGAATCAGCATTCGTCGCACTTTTGTGTGATCTCTGGCTAGAGTGGAATGGGGCAGCACATCCATCCTTTCTCTACTTGACCTCTTGGCAGCTTTCGATACCATCGACCATGGTATTCTCCTGGGGCGGCTTCAGGGGATGGGAGTGGGAGGCCCTGTGCTATCCTGCCTCATTTCCTTCCTCTGCAGCCGTTCTCAGTCAATGTTGTTAGGAGGGGAGAGATCCAGCCCTCCACCACTGCTTTGCAGGGTTCCGCAGGGCTCGGTACTATCCGCTCCTGTAACATTTATATGAAATCGCTGTGTGAGATCATCTGCTAGCATGGACTGAAGTATCACCAATATGATGATGATACTCAGCTGTATGACTCAGCCCGTGGTGGGTTAAGCGATGCTGTGTCCTCCCTATCACAGTGCCAGGAGGCTGTTAGGGGCTGGATGGGGAGCAATGGGTTGAAACTAAAGCTTGACAAGATTGAGTAGATCTGGGTTTGGAGTTCGTTGCCAAAGGGAGAATTGCCACTTCTGGTCTGGGATGGGGTATCACTACCCCATACAGACTCTGTGCGTAATCTGTTGCTTCTCCTGGACTCACAACTCCTGCTCAAAGAGCAGGTGGCAGTCGTGTGCAGGAGGGCCTTTGCGCAACTATGGGTTGTGCGCCAGAAACAGCCCTTCCTGGACCGACAATCCCTATTCACAGTCACTCATGCCCTAATCACTTCCGGTCTTGACTATTGCAACGCGCTCTACATGGGGCTGTCCTTGAAGAGCATGTGGAAGCTCCAGTTGGTGCAAAACGCAGCAGCCCACATGGTTTTCTGGAGACCCCGGTGTGCACAAGTATCACCTCTCCTGCAGGTGCTGCATTGGCTGCCAATTTCCTTCCTGGTGCAATTCAAGGTGCTGGTTGTCACCTATAAAGCCCTTCATGGCTTGGGACCAGGTTATCTGAGGGACCATCTCTTACCGGTTACATCTGCCCAACCCACAAGAGTGTGGAGGCAGGGAATGTTGCAGGTGCCATCCCCTAGGAAGACACACCTGGTGAGACCCAGAAGAAGGGCCTTCTGCGTGGCAGCTCCCTCTTTCTAGATTACAACATCATCCCCCTAGAGATGAGAATTAGAAGAAGAGATTAGAATGGCCCCCCACAGTAGCACTTCCAGAAGGCGCTGAAGGCCTGGTTCTGCCAGACAGCCTGGGAAACCCAGAGTGGGATGAAGCCCATTAAACAGCTCCTGTGAGGTGCTTTCGCTGGGGCAAGGGGTATGGGTGATTTTATTATTTTAATGTATTATATAATTCTTCTTTTATTAGTTTTATTATTTTAATATGGGTTGATTATTCTTTTTTGCCGCTTTGAGTCGCCACGTGTGAATAGGCGGCATATAAATTGTCTAAAATAAATCAATAAAATAAATATTTTGTTAATTATTTATTTTGAAATTATTTATTCCTTACAGAGAAACAAAGAATGAAATTTTCTGGTTTCTATGACGGTGATCAAACAGAGGCTGAACCTCTAAATCAAGTAAGAAAAGGAAAGTTATTAGATCTGTATTCTCCTTTCAGGAAGTGAAGAAGGTATACAGAGTTCTCTCTCCTTCTATTCCCTTCTTTGGACTGGGTTATTTTTGTGTCCCTCCACAACATGGAGAGCAGAATAGCAGGTTGAAGTTGCTGTCAGCCAGCATAGCTTCCTCTGGTTGTCTTGTTCTGCTAGGTGCTCCTCCAAATTTGCCTTTACAAGAAGCACTTCTTTTAACGTCCTTCGAGAATTAGGAATAAACGTATCACAGTGGCAGGAACTGCTGGACCACCTTTCTTTTTGTAATTTATCAACCTCCTAAGGTACAGATTAACAGAGTTGGGAGGCACCTTGTAGGTCATCTACTCCAACCTCACTACATCATTTCTGACAAGTGGCAGTCTAGTCTAGTTTCCAGGTTGAATTTCTCCTTGTTGAATTTCCATCCATTACTCTTTGTCTGGCCTTCAGGGGCTTTGGAAAATAGCTTGACCCCTCCTCCTCTCTGTGGCAGCCCTCAAATATTGGAACACTGCTACCATGTCTCCCCTGGTCCTTCTCTTCACTAGACTAACCATGCCCAGTTCCTGCACCCGTTCATCGTATGTTTTAGCCTCCAGTCCCCTCATCATCTCAGTTGCTCTTCCTTGCACTCTAGAAAGAAGTCTCTCTAGAAAGAGTCACAAGATCTTTGTTACATCATGGCAACTAATACTGGATGCAAAGTTCCTAGGTGTGGTCTTACCAAGGCATTCTAAAGTGGAACTAACACTTCATGTAATCTTGATTCTATCCCTCTCTTAATGCAACCTATGATTCTGTTGGGTGTTTTTTGGCAACTGTAGCACGCTGCTGGCTCACATTTAAGCGATTGTCCACTAGGACTCCAAGATCCCTGTTGCACTTTCTACTGTAGAACCAGGCATCACCTATTCTATGGCAGTGCATTTGGTTTTTCTTTCCTAAATGTAGCACATTAAATTTCTCACAATTGAGGTTCATTTTGTTAGAAGTGCCAATCTGTCAATCCTTCTATATCTCGAGCCTATTTTGTGCAGTGTTGGTATTCCTGTCAATTTGGTCTTGTCTGCAAATTTGATGAGTTCCCCTTCTATCCCCTTGTCTAAATCATTGATGATGATGAACAGATATTGTGAATCCTCCTGTTCTGTTCTTTTTTCCGTGTTCAGGAGAGTCTTGTGTCCTTCGAGGAGGTGGCTGTGTATTTCTCTGAGGAGGAATGGTCTCAGCTGGATCCTGACCAGAAAGCGCTGCATTCGGAAGTCATGCTTGAAAACCATAGGAACGTGGTCTCTCTCAGTAAGTTTTCTTGTCCCAAATCACAGAGTTCAAGAAGACAGATGACACATAGTTTTTAATTTAAAAAATCACTAATCAGATCAGGGGTGAAATCTAAATTTTTTTGCTACCGGTTCTGTGGGTGTGACTTAATTAGAGGGAGTGGCTTGGTGGTAAGGTGACGGTGGGCGTGGCCAAGTCAATGTCACTTCTTTGCCCTTTTTTAACCTACAAAAAACAACACAACACAACTGGCTCACCCTCAATGTAAAAGCTGTGCTAGACTCAAAATGGCCCCGCAACAAGCAGGAACCTCGCACAGCCACAAAAAGCCCAAAAAACCAACTTTCACACTTTACACAGACAAAATTCCACATACAGCTTTGTGAGATTTTGTGTGTTTGTGTAGTTAGAGTGAAACACTACAGAAACACACTAAATCTCAGAAAGCTGCACAAATATTATTTTATTTTATTTTTATTTTTATATAAAAGCAGCTAAATTTAAAACTTCCTAAACTTTAAATGGCTAGGTCTAAAAAAAGAACAACTAAAAAAAACCCCAATTAACTATTTTTTTTAAAGCTCCCAAAGGGGAAAAAAACTTACCCAATAGAACAGGGGTCTCCAACCTTGGCAACTTTAAGACTTGTGGACTTCAACTCCCAGAATACCTCAGCCAGCTTTGCTGGGAGTTGAAGTCCACAAGTCTTAAAGTTGCAGATAGAGCTGCTCACCAATGAGTTTGATTGCAGGCAGGGATATTCAGTTGCTTGCTGATGCATGGATTGCATCATGCGATCAGCAGCTAAGGTAAGCAAGCTGGAGGCTGGGGGAGGGGGGAGAAAAAAAGAAACTTTTTTTCTTTTACATGGCTCTGGTGATCCAAGCTGAGTTGCCTGATTAGCAGGCAACTCAGCTGGAATGTCAGAGCTTGGCTGGTCAGAGCCAAATGCCTTTTGGGGCATTCCTTATCTGTATTTTTCCATTTCTATTTGAACTTATCTGTGGAGGTTGAGAAGAATGGGGTGTGCTTTTGTGTGTCCCCTGGAGATCATGTGATAAGAATATGTTGTCATTTGTCCTCGGAAACCTCCCCAAATTGTGTGAAAACAGAACGTTCACGCTCAGGCCATGGAAGAGCATTCTCCCAGTCCAATTCAAGAACAAAGGCCTCATGCAGTGTGACTCAGAGCATCCTAGGATACAGGTGATCCCTGAGTTACGACAGTTCACTAAGCGACTGTTTCAAGTTACGACCTAGCCATCTCCCAAGTACTTAAGACTCAGTCCTGAAATTACAAATGTTACAGCACCACGGCCGTCATTCACACTTATAAATGGCAGCAGAGGCGTTGCAACAACAATCATCCTACCTGTACCCCCACCCCATCCTGCTCGGACTTACGTTACGAGGATGTAGCGAGCCGTCGGTTCCTTTCCTGCTTGGGTGCATTTGCAGAAAAAAGAGGCCTAAAGTAGTGAGAGATACACAAGATCAATAGTGGGAGATCTGGCACTACTGATCTCACATGAACTCGCACTACACTGCTTTAGGTCTCTCTTCTCGGCTGCACGAGATCCAGGGCAAAATGCTTTGGAAACAAAGAGTAGGCCTCTTTGTTTTCAAAGACTTTTGCCCTGGATCTCGCGCAGTCCTCAGTTTATAGGGAACACAGGACCAAAGTACTGCAGTGTGAGATCCTGCAAGATCATTAGTGTGAGATCTTGTACTTCCTGTATTGTGTGATCTCGCACTAAAGTTGTTTAGGCCTATGTTCTCTGCAATCGGAAGCCTGTACCAGATCTGGCCAAAAAACCCTTGCAAGCTAATGGGACTTTGGGGCAGCAAAATAGCCATTCTTGAAGCCTCCCAACCTTTCCAATCTCAGTGCAAAGAGCATTAACAAGCCAATGGGAGGCTTCAGGGAAGGGACTTCGCTCCAAAGTCTCATCAATGGGATCAAGGAACGGGCCGAGCAGGAGTCCTGCCTGCCAGACAGACGCGGTGGAGTACCTGCTCCAAGCAGTGGTGGGTTGCTCCCAGTTCGCACCGGTTTCCGCGGTCCGGTAGCGGTGACAATATGACGTCACCGAACCGGTTCTCCCCCCCGCCCCTCCCCCCCGCGTTATTCTTACCCTTTATTTGGCCCCACTCCCAATCTATTGCTGTCTCCTGAGTCCCAGCTGATGGCTAGAGGGAAAAAAACTGTTTAAACTCTTGCCGCTGGCTTCAAAGGGCCATCCTACAGCTGATCAGTGTTAAAAGAAAACAAATGAGTAGCTATGCTAGGGAAAAAGCGAAACTGAAAGTAAAGCAGGCTCTGCTGCAACGTGAGAAAATGGGGCAGGGAGAGATTTCTTTTTCTTTTTGCTCACCAAAAAAGGTAGGTGCAAACAATGGGAATTTTAGGGCGAAAGAGGAGAGTTCAAGATTTTAAAACACAAAAGAAAAAAAGCTCTATTTAAATAGGGAATTGTAATAATTGAGATACTATTAATTGTATATTGTGTTGAAAGCAGAAATGGTTAAATTGTGGTTTGGAGGAATATATGGGGGAAATTATTTGGTTTATTATTGGTAAATATAATTAATTGATTTGTAAGAAATTGGATTGCATGGAAATAATTGGAATATTCATGTTCATATTGATTAATATACAAAAAGATAGTTATATAACTAACTGATTTATATTAAAATGTTGAATTTGTATTAAACAACTGTAATATTACATAATTACATAATTAACCAATGTGAGGATGGATATAAAAATAGATGACAATGGGAAGGGGTATAATATAGAATAAAAGGGAAAAATTGAATTTGATTAAGATTAGAGATGAGGATGAAGGGTAATATTAGTTTTTTAAAAAAATAGATGAATAAATATGGCAAAAAGGAAATATAGAAAGTGTAAATTTAATTGAAATGACTAAACACTGTTTAAATTTGTGAACCGGCCAAATACTCTGTTCAAAGAAAATACATTGTATGTTTGTATGTGTGTTTCTAATTATTGTTATTTATTCATATTTATATTTCTTCTATCTTGTCACCATGGTGAAGAGAAGCAGTTGTGAAATGAGTGACATGGTTGTTAAGAATGCTGCACTTGCATAAATATGAGGATGGTCATAAGTGTGAGGACTAGTCAAAAGCGCGAGGACCTGTCAGAAATGACTTTTTTCAGCCCTCTGAGTAGTCCCTATACACATAGCTATGGCCACCCGGTCACATGACCAGCTAGCCACGCCCACCCATACGACCTCCAAGCCACGCCCACAAAATAAGCCACACCCACAGAACCGGTAGTAAAAAAAATTAGAACCCACCCCTGGCTCCAAGGTACACCGGGAAAGAAGGAGCTTTTTTCAAAATGGTTTCAGTTCTCACAGGTGTCTGCTGAAATTAACCCACCTCAATAAATCTTAAGTTTTCTCCTTATTCCTCCTTGGGTGTTTCCCCTAATTATTCCATGGCTCAAAACAGACTTTGATTGAGATTTGCACATATATAGATAATTGTAAAGAAAGAGATGTTTTCTAGATATTTTCAAAGCTTTTAGGACTCATGAATATAGAAATCCTGTCTATATCACACCACTGTAAGCATGCAAACATAAAGGAATTTTGGAAAAATTCAGAAGGAAATTCACTTGACTTTGTACGGTTTGATCTTTTTCTCTAACCTTGTTACCATTTTCATTTCTCCTTTGCTTTGAAGGTAATAATCGGCAGGAGAATCAAAATTCCTGTGAACTGTTCCAAGTGATCAATGCTATTTTTTTTTATTCTTTTTTTTTAAAATTAAAAAGTTTTATCAAAGATACAAACATTTTCTTCCTGCCTCCCTCTCACCCCCCCTCCTCCCCCTTCCCCCCACCCTCCTTCCCGGACTTCCCAGAGCAAATACAGGGTATAGCATTTAACAATCATACACTAAAATATGCTAACATTTTATAGACTCCAAGTTCTCTCTTGGTCTTTAACTCCACATAGTTAAAAAAAAACCCTATAAACATATACTAGAGATTAGATTAAATATTTCATTCATAGGCTATTTGAAGCTTTTTAGTCTGATACTTGTTTTGAATATAGTCGATCCATCTTCTCCACTCCAGTACATATCTTTCATTTGAATGATCTTTCAAGTACGCTGAAATTTTTGCCATCTCTGCCAGGTTCACTACTTTTAACGTCCATTCCTCAATAGTAGTTAAATCTTCCTTCTTCCAGTACTGCGCCACCAGTAGTCTAGCTGCTGTTATTAAATTTAAAATCAGCTTAGTCTCTATAACTGTACAGTCTGTAAATATACCCAACAAAAAGAACTGTGGGGTAAATTTTATCTTTTTCTTTTATCCACCATATTTTTATCCAAAAAGCCTTAATTTTTTTACATGTCCACCATATATGATAATATGTAGCATCTTCACATTCACATCTCCAACACTTAGGTTGTAAACTTGGATACATACAGGCTAGCTTTTTAGGATCTAAATGCCATCTATAAAACATTTTATAAAAATTCTCTCTTAAATTTTGGGCTTGCGTAAATCTTATATTTCTAACCCATATTTTTTCCCACCTTTCCATCATTATTGGTTCTCCAATATTTTGTGCCCATTTTATCATACAGTCCTTAACTAGCTCTGTTTCTGAATCTATTTCAACCAATGCATTATACAACCTTTTTATATGCGTTTGGCCTTTATCTCTAATTTGTTTTACCAAGTTCTCATCCTCTTGCAAAATACCAATTTTTTGATCTTCTCTCCATCTAGCTTGCAGCTGACCATACTGAAACCATGTTTTAATTATTCTTTCTTCTCTTACTTGATTCATAGATTTTAATTGTAGTATACCTCTTTCTTTATAAAGAAACTCCTTATATATAATCTCATCTTGTTTTTGCTCTAGACTTATATTCTCTATCGCGTGTCTGGGTGCTGTCCACATTGGTAACTTATCATTTAATTTATATTTGTTAGGGAATGGGGTTGAGGGGTGTCCCCGAACCGTGAACCAGCTCATGAGCAAACACACTAGGACTGAAATAAAACTGACAGAGGAGTCTTGTATAAAAATATAATTTACTTCAAAATGTTTAAAAAGCACTATATCTTTAAAAAGGCACATTAATAACAAAGTCTTATCTCGGTTATGTGAAGCCAGGCTATCTCCCTAGATTCCTCTCCACAATACCGAAACAGTCCATAAGAGAAAAAAGCTAACATGACATTAAGCAGCTTCCGTGTCGATACATCATCGAGGTAGTAGAAGGGCAGCAGCATAAACTTCACAGCTAAAAGTCACCTGAAGAAAAAACAATTCAATCAGCAAACGTAGCTTGAAGCTCCTGGGAGGGAGAATGTCCAGCAGCAACAGTTCAGAAGTTGGCTTGCGTGCTTCAAATCAGCAAAAGGCAAGCCTCCGTAGGAGTATCTCTGCTACAGCGTCTGGACTCCTTATCTGTGTTCTCCTCCCTTCTGCAGCGTTGTACTGAGCTCTGCATCCAGCTTCCAGCAGAAGCTCTGCATCTAGGCCTAAACAGCATCTAGGCCCAAGTAGAAAGCGGAAAGGTCCTTGCTTATATGGGGAGTTAACCTGCAATTAACTAGGACGGGGAAGGCTTGCAGGTAATTGCAAACAGGAGATGGCTTGATTGAATCCATACTGTTTGTGACTGATCAAGTAGCCACAGCAATCCTGAAAACACTCGTGACAATATTGGTACTTTTTCCAGACATGCAATAAAGCATTCCTTAATATGTGACTTTTAAAAGTCTTATCCACTTTCTTGTCATATAATCGATAAGCATGCCAACCGTAAACCAAATCATATCCTTCAATGTTTAGTATTCTTTCCTCTGTTAAATTAATCCAATTTTTTCTCTAACCTTGTTATTATTTTCATTTCTCTTTTGCTTTGAAGGTAATAATGGGCAGGAGAATCAAAATTCCTGTGAACTGTTCCAAGTGATCAATGCTAAAGATGGAACGGAGAAGTTTGGAATTCGAATGGAACCAGAAACCCATGATAGAAACCAGTCAAATGATTGGAATCAGGAAAGCTCATCTTCCACCGATGGTCCGATGCAAGACTTTCTTGCCCAACAGGAGAAAATAAGGAAAAAATATATTGGTGAAAGTGTGAAGCCAATCAAAGCTAAATTACAAGTAAAAGAACACTATTTAAGCCAAAACAAAGGAGAAGATGCTATAAGAAAACACAATGGACAAAGTTACAATGGGACATTCATTCCTTCTCTTGGAAATAAATTCCTTACATCTCAAAAAGTGACAGATACAAAAGAGAAGCCTTACAAATGTTTGGAATGCGGAACATGTTTTGGAACAAGCAGGCAACTTACTTCCCATGAAGGGATTCACACTGGGGAGAAGGTATACAAATGCAGAGAGTCTGGTAAAAGGTTCAGAAGACGTAGTAATCTTATTTCCCCAAAAAGGATCCAGGCAGGGGAAAAGCCATTTAAATGCATGGAGTGCAAAAAAATCTTTGCTCGAAGAAGTACTCTTATTTCCCATAAGAGGATCCACACAGGGGAGAAGCCGTATAAATGCATGGAGTGTGGAAAGACGTTTGGTCAAAGAGGTCATCTTATTTCCCATAAGAGGATGCACACAGGGGAGAAGCCGTATAAATGCATGGAGTGTGGAAAAACCTTTTCTCAAAGAGGTAGTCTTATTCGCCATAAGAGGATCCACACAGGGGAGAAGCCGTATAAATGCATGGACTGTGGAAAAACCTTTGCTGAAAAACGTAATCTTATTTACCATAAGAGGATCCACACAGGGGAGAAGCCGTATAAATGCATGGAGTGTGGAAAGACGTTTGGTCAAAGAGGTCATCTTATTTCCCATAAGAGGATCCACACAGGGGAGAAGCCATATAAATGCATAGAGTGTGGAAAAATGTTTTCTGAAAGAGGTCATCTTATTCGCCATGAGAGGATCCACAGAGGGGAGAAGCCGTATAAATGCTTGGAGTGTGGAAAAATGTTTTCTGAAAGACGTAATCTTATTTCCCATGAGAGGATCCACACAGGGGAGAAGCCATATAAATGCTTGGAGTGTGGAAAAATGTTTGCTCAAAGAGGTAGTCTTATTCGCCATAAGAGGATCCACACAGGGGAGAAGCCGTATAAATGCATGGAATGTGGAAAGGACTTTACTCGGAAAGTTAGTCTTAATTCTCATAAAAGGATCCACACTCAGAAGAAACTGTATAGCAATAGTAATTCCACTTAGACTTCTGGCTGGGGGCAATTAGCCTATAGTACTGCATTCTAATCACTGATCCACCACATTTCTATAGATGTTGATATTTATGCATATTGTGCCTTTCAGATCCAAACGAGACAAGGTAGAATCCAACAAAATGAAATTTAATGTGGAGAAAAGTAAGCTTTTACATCTGGGCAGGAAAAACAGATTACCTGAAACCTGGCTGGATAATAGTAACTGTGAAGGGTCCTTGGAGTCGGAATGGATGATCAATTAAGCATGAATCACCTGTGTGTGGCAGCAGCCAAAAAAAGCGAACACAATCCTTGGTTTTATAAACAGAGGCATAGAATCAAAATCACATGAAGTATTACTACCACTTCATAATGCTTCAGTAAGACCACACCCGGAATACCGCATCCCCTTTGGGTCATCATATTACAAAAAAGATGTTGAAACTTTGGAAAAAGAGCAAAGAAGAGCAGCTAAGATGATTAAAGGCCGGAATACTAAAAAAAGAACTGTTATAGGAACTGGGCATGGCTAGTCTAGTGAAGAGAAGGACCAGGGGAGACAGGATAGCAGTGTTCCAATATTTGAGGGGCTGCCACAGAGAGGGTGGGGTCCAAGGCACCTGAAGGCTAGACAAGGAATAATGGATGGAAACTTATCAAGGAGCGATTCTACCTAGAAATAAGGAGAAGTTTTCTGACAGAACAATCAACCAATGGAAGAGCTTGCATTCGAAAGTTGTGGGCGCTTCATCACTGGTGGCTTTGAAGAAGAGATTGGACTGCCATTTGTCAGAAATGGTGTAGGGTCTCCTGCTTGGGCGGGGGGTTGGACTAGAAGAGCTCCAAGTTCCCTTCCAGCTCTATTCTGATTTTGATTTGGAATCCTCAATCCATTCTGGTGCTTTTTTGCTAAGTAGGAGGTTTTAAAAGAAAGATGAGTATCAATGGAGATTAAGGTTATTGTTTGCCCTCAAAGTGATGTGTGGATGCCAGTATTTAAGTGATACATTTCCAGTAACTCCCTCTGATGAGTATTTTATTTTATTTTATTTTATTAAATTTCTATACCACCCTTCTCCCGAAGGACTCAGGGCGGTGAAAATCCACAAAATAAAACACATAAGTACAAAAATTTAAAATAGAATAAAATGAATTAAATAATTTGGCTGACACAAATTTAAAATACCCAATATTTTAAAAACAAATTAAAATTTGCATTTAAAAAGGGGAGAAGATTTAGGCCAGGCTGGCTTGCTGAAATAAGAAAGTCTTGAGCGCGCGACGGAAGGTGCGCAGATCCGGGATCCTCCGTATCTCTGGGGGGAGCTCGTTCCAGATCGTAGGTGCCCCCACAGAGAAGGCTCTCCCCCTAGGGGCCGACAGTCGACATTGTTTGGCCGACGGCACCCGGAGGAGCCCCTCTCTATGGGAGCGTACTGGTCAGTGGGAGTATATCCACTAGAGCAGAGTTGCAGGCAGAAATGCAATTAGTCCTGAATCCCTTACTATTGTTTCAGCTTTTCTTCCTTTGCTTACTATTGTCACAGTCTGCCTTTCCACCGTTTCACTTTATGCAAGTAATAACAGAGAAAGAAAACCATAAGGAAAAGGGGGTTATAGTGATGCTGAATTAGAAAATGCAACTCATAGGTTCTTTCTCCTTATTTTGTGGTGGTCTTTCCTTGCCTTCCCTGGTGTTGCCCATCTCTGGACTCACACAATCTTATCAATACCTTTTTAAAGTGAAGTCTCCAGAACTGGACACAGTATTCCAAATGGAGTCTCACTAAAGCCCTATGTAGAGGGATAGGAGCTCCTTTTTGCTGAGGGTGATACATCTGGTGATGCATCTCAGAATTTTGTCTGCCTTCCCAGCTGCCTGGCCACACTGCTTACTTACGTTGCAGTTATCCTTGTTTCAGTGCCATGGCAACTACTTTCACATAATTGTGGAAAAGAAGGAAAGAGAAAGCAGTGGTAGGGATATGTGGACACATATTAAGTTCCCATAGGTAGGCAGCCTGCTGGCCAACCCAGGCAGTCCCTGATTTACAATAATTTATTAAGTAACCGTTTGAAGTTCCAATGGCAATAAATGATGGCTCTGACCTCCTCCCTCCCTCCCAAATTAGACATACTCCAGGATATCAGAATGAAAACCACTCTGGTGTGCTAACATTGCAAAGGATCAATCAAGAAGGAAGATCTTTGGAAATCAATGGGGACCAAAATAAGATGTAATTAAGAACTACTTCAAAAAATTACTTCAGTCCTTCCTGATGAAACACGCAGAAATGCGAATGGGAAGTTTCTCTGGGATGTCCAGATACCAAAAATAATCCAGCCTGCCAACAAAGGAGACAATGTGTAGCTCATGGTTGAAATGAGGGGTCCTTGGTGGTCTCTGAGCTTGATTGTGTTGTTGCAGACCTTTCATTAGCCAAACGAGGGAAGATCCTCAGTGCACCAACCAACCTCAGAGGGCACCAAGGACCCCTCAATCCAACCTCCATCCACTGTGTCAAATTAATCACTGTCTCAACCAGGATGAATGCAGAAGCAAGGAAATGTTTTAGGCCAAAGACCTCTTAGGATGTGATGGAATAATGACTGCATGCAGAAAGCTTTAGGGTGAACAATGTGTATGTCGTAACATTAAATAACTTAAAATTAAGTAACTAGTCATGTAATTACTTGCTAAAGATGCATCAAATTCTTAATGGAGTCTTCAACTTTTCTTGTTTTGCATTTGCTTTTCTTTTTCTCTTTTCATTTATGGTCCAATGATATATCCCTGCATTCAATTCTCCAAGGGGCTTGGAGTAACTATAATAAACTTAAGCAACAGATGGCGACAGACCTGGCGAAAGGGGAAAATTTGCAGCTTTCCTTAATTGATAGGATATCAACTATTAAGATGAATATTTTGCCTAGAATTTTATATCTGTTCCAGACAATTCCAGTTAGATTGGGGAACGATTTTTTCAAAGATTTGAATAAAATGGTGTTAAAATATATTTGGCAGGGAAAGGAGGCGAGGATAAAATTGAAGTTGTTACAAGATGCTAGAATACGGGGAGGCTTTGGTTTACCTAATTGGGAACTTTATTATCAAGCATCAAGCCTGATGTCGATTAAAGAATGGATAAATTTAAGAAATATTGGATTATTGAATCTAGAAGGGCATGATTTGTTGATGGGGTGGCATGCTTTTTTGTGGTATAAAGGAACAAAAATACAGGGGTATTTTAGAAGACAGCACATACTTGAGGCTCTGTTATTGAATTGGGAGAAGATTAAAAAACAACATTATCTGAAAATTCCAGTCCAGGTATCTACAATTGAAGCATTTTCATATTCAGTAGTATTCAGAAGGGAAGAAATTGTTAGATATAGTGAATTAATGGATGAAGAGTGAACTTAAACCGAGGCAAGAATTAGAAAAACAAGGTTTCAAAATGGATTGGTTTTCTTACTTGCAAATACATTCTAGATATGAAGATCTTAAACAAGAAGGTTTATGACTAATTTAGATAAGATTTTAATGGGTTCTGATGACTATGTGATTAAAAAAATATATGGATACTTGTTAGAGGTAAAATTGGAAGAAGAACAAGTTAAAGAGTCAATGATAGCATGGGGGAAAATTTTGGTCATGGTATTGATTTAGAGAAATGACAAAAATTGTGGTCTCAGAATTATAAAATGACAATGTCTACAGCTTATAAGGAGAATTTGTATAAGATGCTTTACAGGCGGCACCTACCCCTGACGAGGGTAGCCAGAATGTTCAAGAATAAATCGGAGAAATGTTGGAAGTGTCATCAGACTCCAGGATCATATTACCATATGTGGTGGACATGTGTAGAAGCTAAAAGATATTGGACTAAGATACACACGTGGTTGGAAAAAATGACAAAGAAACATATTGACTTTAAACAGAGATTTTTTATTGGTGATTTTACCAGAAACATACAGCAGAGAATTGCAATATTTAATTGTGAATGTTTTAACAGCAACTAGAATTGTATTTGCTAAAAATTAAGAGAGAAATTACCTACTGATGTTATTAAGAAAATTATGCAATGTGCTGAAATGAGTAAATTGACATTTGAAATTAGAAAACAGGAAGATAAACGATATTACTTGATAAGGGATTTGTTTTATCAATGGATAGATAATAAATCATGGAATTGAAGTATGAAATAGGGGGTTGATGTAAAGACAAAATATCTGAAGCTTTTTTTTTCTATAAAAGATAAAAATTTCTGTTATAAATTGGTATTTTAGAAATGGATTTATGCACAAGAGAATATGTACCATTCGACTCACTGTCTGTAATTGTTTGGAATGATGGTTTTATGTTTGTTTTTGTTTTAAAATAAAAAAAAATTCAAAAAAAAATTCTCCAAAGGTCTTAACCTTCCTAGTCACATTTCTTGAGGTGAATTCCCTACTGAATCCCTATGTAAAAATGGTTTTTCCTCATCATAGTTTAGCTTTCTATTCCTTTTTCAGGATCTTCCTTTTCTTTCATCAGAAGAGACCGGAGGGGTCCCTTTCCTTTCTCCTCCCCCCTTTGCTGAGAGGCTGAACGAATAGTTTGGGAAGGGCAGCTGCATGTATTGAATTAGAGATATAAAAAAAGAAATAAATTAAAATCATTTTCTTGATTGTGGCCTTCCTGCCTGTGTCCCATCTGCCTCCCCTTCAGGCGGAAGTTCCCAACAACTGCAAGACAAAAGCTGTCTTTCCCACAGAGACTCCTGGTCCTCTTCTGATCGCCCGGCTGTTTCTGACAGGATTTGGACCCTTTTGAGGCCTCCCACAATCTCCGTGGAGCCTTCAGGGCGGCTGTTCTTGAGGTGTTACAAAGAGTTACTTAATCCAATAAACTTACCCAAGGACAGTAGTAACTCTCCCATTAGCAACTCTGAGCACTTAAGAAAAGTTGTGCGGCTAAGATAATTTTGTAAACTAAGATTAATGCTTTAAGTAATTAGATGAACTTATTATCCAGTGTATGTAACCATAGAGGGAAAATCGGATGTATGATCTCATGATTAATCATATATGGAAAATGTATGATCTCACTGAATCCTTTGTCTTAGAAATGTATAAAAACCATTGTATCAGAGTTCTTTCTTTGTTCAAAGCTTCAGGTACAAATCTGGCTCTGAACCTTGCGCAATAAAGCTGTCTCTGACTGACCTGGGAATGTTTTTTAGTCCTTCCATTCCACAACAAAGGAAGCTTAAGCCCCTTGGAGAATTTAAGGCAGGGATATATTATTAGACCATGAATGAAAAGAGAGAAAGAAAAGGAAAAAGGAAAAGCAAACCAAGAAAAGGTGAAGGCGCCATTTCTAAGAAAACATTCAACCAGATTTGGAGTCAACAATGACATACAGAGGTTAGCTACAGTGAGCAAAACAAAATCTAAAAGTATGGAAAAGTGGTCAAAAATCCATTTAAAAAAATGGAAGTAACGTCTGATTTTCCTTTCTGTATCTATTTCTTTTTTTCTCCAGTTTGACATATTTAATAAGGATATTTGAAAAAACAGCTTCAACCAACCAACCAGCAGCTGAAATATGCCCCCCCAAGGTCATCCATACACTTTAGTGGGTTAGTAAGTTTTAATGCAACAAAGAAAATTTTATGCATGTTTACCATGTACTTAATTTAGTTACTTAATTTTAGGTTACTTTAACATTATGACACACCATAAAAAGACAAGAAGATGGTGCTAATACTTTTTTCCCTATGCATTTGTTTCATCTTACAAGATGTTCACCCTGAAGCTTATCGCACACACTCTACATTGACATCTGTCATTATTCCATCACATCATAAGAGGTCTTTGATTGAAAAAGGTTTCCCGCTTCTGCATTCATCCTGGTTGACTCAGATCTTATGCAAGGCACGAGCACTGCCTAGTGAGTGGGTGGGGTTCTTCTGGGGGGGACCTCATGCTGGGACTTTCAAGGGGGTCTTGCAAAGGCCTCATCCAGTCTTTGGAATCCTAGCAAGGGACGGGGGAAGGCCGTGGCCCCATGTTCCCCTGCCGTCCCTTTGCATCCATCTACTGGGGGGGGGAATAACGAGTTTCAGACCACCCATGTTGCTTCCCCCTCCCTAGAAGAAACACAGCATCATCCCCAGGAAGGAGGGGATCTGGGGGAGCCCTCCATCTCCCCCCTCATTTCCAGAATGGGAGTGGGAGGAGAGGGAAGGCTTGCATTACAAAAGGCAAACAGGACTCCTCTCTGCCCCCAAAATGCGGGGTGGGGGAAGCCGCACAGGTATTTCTGCTATTTATGGTGGGTCAGAAAACCTCGGCTGCCTCTTTGCCAGAAGGGCTCAAAAGGCAGAAACTTTTGGGAGGGGTGGGCACGACAGTGACCCCATGTGATTGGGGGAGTGACACTCCCACTCCAGGTAGGATCCGAAGGGGGCAAAAAGAAATCCTTACTCTCCTCCAAGGCAGCCATGACCCCCCCCCCCTTTGATCTGCCCCTAAGACAGACACAGACTTCAGAGAAAACTGCAGAAAAAACAATGGCTACCAACCTGCCTTCCATTGAGAACCTGTATACTGCACGAGTCAAAAGAGGGTTGTGAAAATATTTAGACCCCTCACATCCTGGACAAAAACTTCAACTCCTACCCTCAAAACGACGCTATAGAGCACTGCACACCAGAACAACTAGATACAAGAACTGTTTAACAGTCAAGAAATAAAAATGATTGGTTTAACAAAGATAAAGATGCTGGGTTTTATAGCTAAGATAAAATGAGGTGGGATAGCCAAAATAAGGAGGCGTATGTTGAGATTAATAGTTAAAATGAAATGAATGTTAGGTTTAATAACAGAAATAAAGATTATAAATGTTGAGCTCAATAGTAAAAATAAAATGATTATGTTGGAATTAAATATTTTATGAATGTTTATAATAATTGTATGATTTATACTTTTAAAATATATCCATCTAAGCAAATGAAAAAGAATGATAATTGGATAGGATTTAAGATTTAAGTAATGGGTTTTTGCGGATAATGGCAGAGTTAAATAGACAGATTTGAGGGAAATAACTGAGTAAAATATTAAGTTGTGTTAATTGAAAATTAAGATTTGTTAGTGATTTGTATTAATTTGTGACTGGATCAAAAGCTTTGTTTTGAAAAGATGTGTTTTATGTTCATGATTTTAAAAAAATAATAAAAAACTTTTTTTAAAAAACCATCAAGCTCAGAGAGCACCAAGGACCCCACAGTTCAACCCTGAGCTACAAATATTATCTTCTCTCGATAAACACTTTTTAGTTCCCAGTGGATTTCATTCTAAACTTTGGTATGATTTCTGTAAATAAAGAATGTAGAATTACAATGGCTGAGTATTTGATCCTTCATACATCAAAAAAATACAAAGCTAAGGAATAAACAAAAAAGATTTGGAAAAAAAAAGCTCAGGAAAGAAAGTGAAAGTGTAAGAAAGAAAGGAAAAAAAGGAAAACCGCAAAAAAAAGGACTTCCAACTTTCTTTGGTGCAGATATAAGTAAAAATATATCAAACTCTTACTCTAAAATTAACATTTGTCTACATTATTTCCATAATCCCATATCTAATCATCAACTTTTGATTTCAGTTTCTCACAAAAAGTCCAGTAATGATTCATATCACTTCAATCATTCTTTGTTAAGGAAACCACGACTGGCTTCTTTAATTGCACCAAACTCTAAATAAAACAGGAATGGAAAATGTTGGTTTCCAAGGATTTCAAATGGCTTCCAGTTTCTGTATCTGAGATGGGAAGAAAAAATGAATATTAAGAATTAGAAAGTGGAATTCAGCCACTGAGCGACCTTCCCCCAACCTCCCCGGAGCCCCAAGAGGCTCATCCCAGCGCAGGACTGAGGTGCCCCCGAGCAGGGCCGGGAAGGAGGCAGCTGGAGAGGCCGCCCCGCTTCTCTCCCCTCCGGAGACAGGGAGCCTGGTGCGAATCCTGCCTCCTCCTCGCCCGGCTTCTCTCCCCTCCTGCTGGGCCTCCGCAAGGCCGACCCTCCCCTCCCCCCACTCGGGCTCTTCGCATGGAGAGGGCGGCTGGGGAGCATGGGACCCGGGATCGAAGCCGAAGGAAGGCCGGGCGAGAATCTCTCCCTCCTGCGCCTCCCTTTGCCCGGGAAGAGCCCCCAACTCACAGAGGGAACGTCTGGAACTCCCCCCGCCAGACTCTCCCGCAACCTCGCCGCCTCCTGTGGAGCCCCAGGGGTTAAGGAGAGCGAGTGCGGAGGCCTAGAGCGGCAAGTGTTTGTGATGTCATTACCTCCCCGGCCTCCTCAGGAAAGGTAGCTGTGACGTTCCCCTCCGGCGGACCAATGGGGAAGCGCATGACGTTACCTTCTTTTAGCAGAGGGCTCCCCCTGGTGGATTAGGGGCAAAGTGCTAGGATTGTAGAAAGGGCGGGAAAGAGCGCGTCTGAGGGGAAGGGAGAGGGCAGGGATGATGGGCTTGGGAGTAAGAGGAAATGGCCCTCTCAATTTCTTTCTCCATCTTCCTCTCTTTCCTGTCCAGGAACGTCTGTGGAGATGAAGAAAAATCTCTCTGGAGGATTTAAAGTCGCTTCCCTCAAGAACAGCCGCCCTGAAGGCTCAGCAGAGATTGTGGGAGGCCTTAAAAGGGTGCAAATCCTGTCAGAAACAGCCGAGCGGTCAGAAGAGGAGGACCAGGAGTCTCTGTGGGAAAGACAGCTTGTGTCTTGCAGTTGTTGGGAACTCCCGCCTGAAGGGGAGGCAAATGGGACACAGGCAGGAAGGCCACCATCCGGGAAATGATTTTAATTTATTTCTTTAATTCAATACATGCAGCTGCCCTTCCCAAACAATTCACTCAGCCTCTCAGCAAATGGGGGAGAAGAAAGGGCAGGGATCCCTCCGGTCTCTTCTGATGAAAGAAAAGGAAGATCCTGAAAAAGGAATAGAAAGCTAAACTATGATGAGGAAAAACCAAGTCCTAATGGTTGAAAAACATCTTTTGCCTGTGCATTTGTTTCAGCTTCTGTTCATTCTGGCCCCTTGCTTGAAAGACAATTGTCATTATTCCATCACATCCTAAGAGATCTTTGACCAAAAAAGGTTCCTTGCTTCTGCATTCATCCTGGTTGACACAGATATTAATTTGACATAGTGGATGCAAGTTGGATTGAGGGGTCCTTGGTGCCCTCTGAGGTTGGTTGGTGCACTGAGGATCTTCCCTCGTTTGGCTAATGAAAGGTCTACAACAACACAATCAAGCTCAGAGACCACCAAGGGCCCCTCATTTCAACCATGAGCTACACATTTTCTACTTTGTTGGCAGGCTGGATTATTTTTGGTATCTGGACATCCCAGAGAAACTTCCCATTCACCTTTCTGTGTGTTTCATCAGGAAGGACTGAAGTAATTTTTGTAGTTCTTATTTTCATGATATTTTGGACCTCGTTGCTTTCGAAAGATCTTCCTTCTTGATTGATCCTTTGCAATGTTAGCACACCAGAATGGTTTTCATTCTGATATCCTGGAGTAGGCCTAATTTGGGAGGGAGGGAGGAGGTCAGAGCCATCATTTATTGCCATTGTAACTTCAAATGGTTACTTAATAAATTATTGTAAATCAGGGACTGCCTGGGTTGGCCAGCAGGCTGCCTACCTATGGGAACTTAATATGCATCCACATATCCCTATCACTGCTTTCTCTTCCCTTCTTTTACACAACACTGTGAAAGTAGTTGCCATGGCACTGAAACAAGGATAACTGCAACATAAGTAAGCAGTGTGGCCAGGCAGCTACGAAGGCAAACAAAATTTTGAGATGCATCACCAGATGTATCACCATCAGCAAAAAGGAGCTCCTATCCCTCTACATAGGGCTTTAGTGAGATTCCATTTGGAATACTGAGTCCAGTTCTGGAGACCTCACTTTAAAAAAGGTATTGATAAGATTGTATGAATCCAGAGATGGGCAACACGAGGGAAGGCAAGGAAAGATCACCACAAAATAAGGAGAAAGAGCCTATGAGTTGCATTTTCTAATTCAGCATCACTATAACCCCCCTTTCCTTATGGTTTCCTTTCTCAGTTATTACTTGCATAAAGTGAAACGGTGGAAAGGCAGACTGTGATAATAGTAAGCAAAGGAAGAAAAGCTGAAACAATAGTACGGGATTCAGGACTAATTGCATTTCTGCCTGCAACTCTGCTCTAGTGGATATACTCATCAGAGGGAGTTACTTGAAATGTACCATTTAAATATTGGCATCCACACATCACTTTGAGGGCAAACGATAACCTTAATCTCCACTGATACTCATCTTTCTTTTAAAACCTCCTACTTAGCAAAAAAGCACCAGAATGGATTGAGGATTCCAAATCAAAATCAGAATAGAGCTGGAAGGGAACTTGGAGCTCTTCTAGTCCAACCCCCCGCCCAAGCAGGAGATCCTATATCATTTCAGAAAGTGACTGTCCAGTCTCTTCTTAAAAATGTCCAGTGAAGAAGCACCCACGCTATCTGAAGGCAAGCTGTTCCACTGGTGAATTGTCCTCAGTGTAAGAAAGTTCCAAGTTGCTTCTCTCCTTGATTAGTTTCCATCCATTTGTTCCTTATTTTGCCCTCTGTTGGTTTGGGGAAAAAATTAGATATTACGTTAACAGACTTGGAACGGACCTTGTCGTTCATCTCATCCAATCCCCCACCCAAGCAGGAGACCCTACACTATTTCTGACAAATGACAGTACAATCTCTTCTTCAAAGCCACCAGCAATGAACTGCCCACAACCTCTGAAGGCAAGCTCTTCCATTGGTTGATTGTTCTGTCAGAAAATTTGTCTTTATTTCTAGGTAGAATCGCTCCTTGATAGGTTTCCATCCATTATTCCTTGTCTGGCCTTCAGGTGCCTTGAAAAATAGTTTGACCCCCTCTTCTCTGTGGCAGCCCCTCAAATATTGGAACACTGCTATCCTGTCCCCACTGGTCCTTCTCTTCACTAGACTAACCATGCCCAGTTCCTATAACCATTCTTCTTTTAGCCTTTAATCTTTTGGCCTTTAATCAACTTAGCTGCTCTTCTTTGCACTTTTTCCAAAGTTTCAACATCTTTTTTGTAACATGATGACCCAAACGGGATGCAGTATTCCAGGTGTGGTCTTACTAAGGCTTTATGGAGCGGTAGTAATACTTCATGTGATTTTGATTCTATGCCTCTGTTTATACAACCAAGGATTGTATTTGCTTTTTTGGCTGCTGCTGCACAGAGGTGATTCATGCTTAATTGATCATCCATTCCAACTCCAAGGACCCTTCACAGTTACTATTTTCGAGCCAGGTTTCAGGTAATCTGTTTTTCCTGCCCAGGTGTAAAAGGTTACTTTTCTCCACATTAAATTTCATTTTGCTGGATTCTACCTTGTCTCCTTTGGATCAGGAAAGCACAATATGCATACAGATGAAAATCTATAGAGACGTGGTAGATCAGTGGATAGAATACAGTACTATAGGCTAATTGCCCACAGCCAGAAGTTTGATTCTGACAGGGTCACGGTTGATTCAGCTTTCATCCTTCTGAGGTGGGTAAAATGAGGACCCAGATTGCTGGAGACCATATGCTGACTTTGTAAACTGCTCAAAGAGTGATGTAAAGCAACGTGGAGTGGTATATAAGTCTAAGTGGAATTACTATTGCTATGCAGTTTCTCCTGAGCGTGGATTCTTTTATGAGAAGTAAGACTAACTTTCTGAGCAAAGCCCTTTCCACACTCCGTTCATTTATATGGTTTCTCCCGTGTGGATTGTCTTATGGTGAATAAGACTACCTCTTCGAGCAAAGGCCTTTCCACATTCCATGCATTTAAATGGCTTTTCCCCTGTGTGGATCATTTTGTGGATAGTAAGTCCATTATTATAAACAAAGGTTTTCCCACACTCCATGCATTTATACAGCTTCTCCCGTGTGGATCCTCTTATGGGAAATAAGATTACTTCTTTGAGCAAACATCTTTCCACATTCCATGCATTTATACGGCTTCTCCCCTGTGTGGGTCCTCTTATGGGAAATAAGATTAACTCTTTGAGCAAACATCTTTCCACACTCCAAGCATTTATATGGTTTCTCCCCTGTGTGGATCATTTTGTGAATAGTAAGTCCATTACTATAAGCAAAGGTCTTTCCACACTCCATGCATTTAAACGGCTTCTCCCCTGTGTGGATTCTCTTATGGCGAATAAGATGACCTCTTTGAGCAAAGGCCTTGCCACATTCCATACATTTATATGGTTTCTCCCCTGTGTGGATCCTTTTGTGTATTCTTAAGTAACTGCACTGAGCAAAAGTCTTTCCACACTCCATGCATTTAAATGGCTTTTTCCCTGTATGGGTCATTTTGTGAATAGTAAGTCCATTACTATAAGCAAAGGTCTTTCCACATTCCATGCATTCATATGGTTTCTCCCCTGTGTGGAGCCTTTCGTGTACTCTTAGAACACTGCTCTGAGCAAAGGTCTTTCCACACTCCATGCATTTATATGGCTTTTCCCCTGTATGGATCTTCATATGGTAAATAAGATTATTTCTTTGAGCAAAGGTCTTTCCACACTCCATGCATTTATACGGTCTCTCTCCTGTGTGGAGCCTTTCGTGTACTCTTAGGACACTGCTCTGAGCAAAGGTCTTTCCACACTCAATGCATTTATACGGCTTCTCCCCTGTGTGGAACTTTTTGTGCATAGTAAGTTCACTGCTACGAGTAAAGGTCTTTCCACACTCCATGCATTTATACGGCTTCTCCCCTGTGTGGATCATCTTATGGCGAATAAGATGACCTCTTTGAGCAAAGGTCTTTCCACACTCCATGCATTTATACGGCTTCTCCCCTGTGTGGATCCTCTTATGGGAAATAAGACTACCCCTTTGAGCAAAGGTTTTTCCACATTCCAAGCATTTATACGGTTTCTCCCCTGTGTGGATCATTTTGTGAAGATTAAGTCCATTACTATTTGTAAAGGTCTTTTCACACTCCATACATTTATATGGCTTCTCCCCTGTGTGGATCCTCTTATGGCGAATAAGATGACCTCTTTGAGCAAAGGCCTTTCCACATTCCATGCATTTATATGGTTTCTCCCCTGTGTGGATCATTTTGTGAATAGTAAGTCCATTACTAGAAGCAAAGGTCTTTCCACATTCCATGCATTGATACAGTTTCTCCCCAGTGTGCAGCCTTTCGTGTACTCTTAGGACACTGCTCTGAGCAAAGGTCTTTCCACACTCCATGCATTCAAATGGCTTTTCTCCTGTGTGGATCCTCTTATGAGAAATAAGAGGATCTCTTTGAGCAAATGTCTTTCCACTTTCCATGCATTTATACGGTTTCTCCCCTGTGTGGATCCTTTTATGGGAAATAAGATGACCTCTTTGAGCAAAGGCCTTTCCACATTCCATGCATTTATATGGTTTCTCCCCAGTGTGGAGCCTTTCATGTGCTCTTAGGACACATCTGTGAGCAAAGGTCTTTTCACACTCCATGCATTTATACGGCTTCTCCCCTGTGTGGATCCTCTTATGGCGAATAAGATGACCTCTTTGAGCAAAGGCCTTTCCACATTCCATGCATTTATATGGTTTCTCCCCTGTGTGGATCATTTTGTGAATAGTAAGTCCATTACTAGAAGCAAAGGTCTTTCCACATTCCATGCATTGATACAGTTTCTCCCCAGTGTGCAGCCTTTCGTGTACTCTTAGGACACTGCTCTGAGCAAAGGTCTTTCCACACTCCATGCATTCAAATGGCTTTTCTCCTGTGTGGATCCTCTTATGGGAAATAAGAGGATCTCTTTGAGCAAATGTCTTTCCACTTTCCATGCATTTATACGGTTTCTCCCCTGTGTGGATCCTCTTATGGGAAATAAGATGACCTCTTTGAGCAAAGGCCTTTCCACATTCCATGCATTTATATGGTTTCTCCCCAGTGTGGAGCCTTTCATGTGCTCTTAGGACACATCTATGAGCAAAGGTCTTTTCACACTCCATGCATTTATATGGCTTTTCCCCTGTGTTGATCCTTTTAGGGGAAATAAGATTACTACGTCTTCCGAACCTGTTAGCAGACTCTCTGCATTTGTATAGCTTGTCCTTAATGTGAATCCTTGTAAGTAATTTAGCTTTGATTGGCTTCACTCTTTCCCCAATATATTTTTTCCTTATTTTCTCCTGTTGGGCAAGAAAGTCTTGTATCGGAGCATCGGTGGAAGATGAGCTTTCCTGATTCCAATCATTTGACTGGTTTCTATCATGGGTTTTTTGTTCCATTCGAATTCCAAACTTCTCCGTTCCATCTTTAGCATTGATTACTTGGAACAATTCACAAAAATCTTGATTCTCCTGACCATCATTACCTTCAAAACAAAAGAGAAATGAAAATAATAACAAGGTTAGAGAAAAAGATCAAACCGTACAAAGTCAAGTGAATTTCCTTCTGAATTTTTCCAAAATTCTTTTATGTTTTATGTTTGTATGCTTACAGTGGTGTGATATAGACAGGATGATTTCTATATTCATGAGTCCTGAAAGCTTTGAAAAATATCTAGAAAACATCTCTTTCTTTACAATTATCTATATATGTGCAAATCTCAATCAAAGAGCCTTGGTACTACAGTGGTTTAAAGCACCCTGTTATTAACACAGCTGCCTGCAATTTACTGCTGGTTCGAATCTCTCCAAGGCTCAAGGTTGACTCAGCCTTCCATCCTTTCTAAGGTAGGTTAAATGAGGACCCAGTTTGTGGGGGCAATAAGCTGACTTTGTATAAATATACAAAAGTATGAAGGCTATTGCTGAACGCACTGTAAGCCGCCCTGAGTCTCCGGAGAAGGGCGGCATATAAATCAAATTAAAAAAAAAAAAAAAAAAAGTCTGTTTTGAATCATGGAATAGTCAGGGGAAACACCCAAGTATGAATAAGGAGAAAACTTAAGATTTATTGGGCTGGGTTAATTTCAGCAGAGACCTTTGAGAACTGAAACCATTTTGAAAAAGGTCCTTCTTCCCCGGTGTACCTTGGAGCAGGTACTCCACCGCGTCTGTCTGGCAGGCAGGACTCCCGCTCGGCCCGTTCCTTGATCCCAACGATAAGACTTTGGAACGAAGTCCCTTCCCTGAAGCCTCCCATTGGCTCATCGTCCTGAGACTGGAAAGGTTGGGAGGCTTCAAGAATGGCTATTTTGCTGCCCCAAAGTCTCATCAGCTTGCAAGGGCTTTTTGGTCAGATCTGGATCTGATTGCAGAGAACAGAGGCCTAAACTACTTTATTGCGAGATCACAAAAAACCAGAAGTGTGTTCCTACAAACTGAGGATTGCACGAGATCCAGGGCAAAAATCTTTGAAAACAAAGAAGCCTTCCCTGTGTTTCCAAAGCATTTTTTCCTGGATCTCGTGCAGGCGTTGGTTAGCAGGGAACAGAGGTCTAAAGTAATGTAACATCCTCGTAATGTAAGTCCGAGCAGGGTGGGGTGGGGGTATAGATAGGATGTCTGTTGTTGCAATGCCTCTGCTGTCATTTGTAAGTGTGAATGACGGCTGTGATGCTGTAACATTTGTAATTTCAGGACTGAATCTTAAGTACTTGGGAGATGGCTAGGTCATAACTTGAAACAGTTGTTTAGTGAACTGTCGTAACTCAGGGATCAACTGTATCCTAGGATGCTCTGAGTCACATTGCATGAGGCCTTTGACCTTGAATTGGATTGGGAGAATGCTCTTCCATGGCCTGAGGGTGAAAGTTCTGTTCCCACACAATTTGGGAAGGTTTCAGAGGACAAATGACAACACATTGTCACATGATCTCCAGAGGACACATAAAAGCACACCCCGTTCTTCTCAGGCTCCACAGATAAGTTCAAATAGAAATGGAAAAATACAGATAAGGAATGCCCCAAAAACATCTGAGCAAAGAGACACTGACTCTTTCCTTCCTTCCTTGGGGTACGAGAAGGCAAGATACTTTCCTTTTCCCTCCCAGGAAACAATATCTGATTAGTGAGTTTTTAATAAAAAACTAACTATAATCTGTCTTCTTGATCTCTCTGATTTGGAACAAGAAAACTCTTACCGAGAGAGACCACGTTCCTATAGTTTTCAAGCATGACTTCCGAATGCAGAGCTTTTTGGTCAGGATCCAGCTGAGACCATTCCTCCTCAGAGAAATACACAGCCACCTCCTCGAAGGACACAAGACTCTCCTGAACACGGAGAAAAGAACAGAACAGGAGGATTTGAAAAGATCTGTTCATCATCCTCAATGATTTAGACAAGGGGCTTAAAGGGTAACTCATCAAATTTGCAGACAAGACCAAATTGACAGGAATACCAACACTGCACGAGGCTCAAGATATAGAAGGATTGACAGATTGGCACCTTCTAACAAAATGAAATTCAATGGTGAGAAATGTAATGTGCTACATTTAGGAAAGAAAAACCAAATGCACTGCCATAGAATAGGTGATGCCTGGCTCAAAATTAGTAAGTGGAACAGGGATCATTTTTTTTATTAAAAAAGTTTTTATTTTTTATAAACAAACAAATATACAATTCTTAATCAATCATACAGTGTATCATCTGAGTACATCTTTTGTATCTTCTTGTTATTCCGCCAGTATTTATCATATCTTAATTTTATCATTTCATTTATTGTAACATTCCCCCCAAATTTCTTACTTTTCTATTAATACATTTATCTATCTTTTTATTTTAGTAAAAAAGTTTTTTCAACAACAATTTTATCCTCAACCATCCTTCAACCCCCCCTCCCCACTCCCCCCCCCTGACTTCCCAGAGCACATTTAACAAACATAAGCTAAAATAAACTAAGTTACTACAAGATTCAAAACTCCCTCACACTCTTTAACTCCCCTTTTAAAGATTATTCGTCAACCTTCCTTTTATAAATTCTCTTATCACATTTCGCATTTGTTACTAAGATCCTTTAGTGGAACAGGGATCTTGGAGTCCTAGTGGACAATCACTTAACGTGAGCCAGCAGTGTGCTACAGTTGCCAAAAAACTATCAACAGAATCATAGGCTGCACTAAGAGAGGGATAGAATGAAGATCACATGAAGTTGCCATGATGTAAAAAAGATCTTGAGATTCTAGAAAGAGTGCAAAGAACAGCAACCAAGATGATTAGGGGACTGAACAGTTGCAGGAACTGGGCATGGCTAGTCTAGTGAAGCGATGGACTAGGGGAGACACAATAGCAGTGTCCCAATATTTGAGGGGCTGCCACAGAGAGGAGCGGGTCAAGCTGTTTTCCAAATCACCTGAAGGCCAGACATGGAATAATGGATGGAAACTGAACAAGGAGATATTCAAGCTGGAAATAAGGAGACATTTTCTGACAGCGAAAGCAATCAACCGGGGGGCGTGGCCAGCATCGCAGTGGTACAGTGTGTATTCTGGGGCTCCGAGAAAATGCTGATATCCCAGCCACTTTTGGGGATCCCAGGAATCATAGCTGTCCTGTAGAGACAGCGAAGAACAGAGACACAGGCTGGCATGGACAGGGAAATCGCAAGTTCCCTGAAGTGCCGGCAAGCAGCCACTGACCTAGCGGTATGGGAAGGCAGCCATAGGACTGTCAAAAGCCGGGGTGGCCATAAGCAAGAAAAGGAACGAGATGATCATCTGGGTGAGAGAGTGAGGTCATGGAAACAAGATTCCTTTTACATATTTTTCTCCTGAACTTTTAAAATCCATCTATCTTAAGAAAACTGGCAAAGAGGGAGTGAGCGGAATAAGGCTACCTTCCCAGTGCCGGAATCGCGGCGAAGAAGTGGAAGCCATTAATGAAGACTAATTAATGAAAGCTGAAAAAGTAACTAAATGAATTGAAAGTAGATTGGGAGAAGAGGCTTCTCTGGTTAATGAATTGAGTTTTGTAGCTGGGAGCTCAAAGCTGAAAGAAGAAAAGTATATTGATATTTTTAAAGACTATTTTGAGTGAATTACCGTGCCATCTAGTGCTGACAGAGAAAATTAAAGATATATATTTTATAAAGGAGAAGATGAGAGTGGAATGACATTGGACAATGTTTTGGAAACTGGCAAGAAGATTCCCATAAGAAGCGGTCTTGTGATTTTGTAACAGAAGGGGAAAGATATAGAGGAAAAGGAAAAAAAGAAAGAACAAAAGCTGTCAGTTTTTTCCTTTTGCTTGATGGATCTATAAATTTTGGAAGATTTTGGAATAGTGGTATTTTGGAATATTATTTTTTTTTTCTGTGTTTTCTTTTTGTTCTTTTTTTCTCCTTTTTTGTAGAAGTTTCTTCTTCCTGGATTTAAAATTTTTAGGATTGGCATGCTTTTTTCTATTGTTTAATTCTTTCTGGGAGATTATAATATATACTTTTTAAAATATTTTTATTGCTTGGTTGGATATTTTGAGTAAACACTTTGGCTTTAAATTTTTTATCAGTGAACTTTTATTTTCTGATTTTTTCCATTTTTGTTTTTTTGGGGCGTCGGTTGTTTTGTTTTTGTTTTTTTTGACACAGCCTTTCTACCTTTTTCTTTTTCTTTTTTATGGATTAGGATTAAACCTATGTGGATTAGGGCAGGGGTGGGCAAATGTGGCCTTTTTACAACCGGTGGACTTCAACTCCCAGAATTCCTGAGACAGCCAAGATGGGCCACATTTGCCCACCCCTGGATTAGGGTATCAAGAACCTGAAGAGTCTGATTGGGAAATTTGAATTTGAAGAAGTCGATTACTTGGATTATAAATTGGGCAGTAAGACTTGAAAAAACAAGATGAAGAAAGTAACACAACATCTATCATCACCATTAATATCAACAGTGCCTGCTACCACAGGGCAAAAGACAAAAGAACCTACACCCCAGCAAGAGAAAATCAACACAGAATTAAAAAATATGCTATGAATACCTGAAGACAAGATTTAGACAAAGTAGATGGGAGAATAGAAAAAATAGAAGGAAAACTGAAAGAAGTTAAAGAGATGATAGGGAAAAATGAACAACGATTACAGCAAGTGGAAGGAAAAACAGAAGGAACGAAGAAAAAAAGAGGAAGAAATAGATTATAGACTTACAATTACTCATAAAAATCAGGAAAAATGCAATTATAATTCTCAAAATGGATAAAGCTGATTATTATTTAAGATTCCAAAATATTGAAGAAGAAAAGGGAGGAAATTTAGCAGAGAAAATTGCGGAGATATTAGCAGAAGCAATGGAAGAAAACAAGGAAAGGATATTAAATGGGATCAACGAGATATAGAGTGCACACAAGATACATAATGAGAAATAATCTGCCTAGAGAAATTCACGTCAGATTTATCAGGAAAAGACTGAGAACAGAGATATTGCAATTGATGAGAAACACGACGATAAAGCACAAAGGGAGAGAAGTAGTGGCACTGAAACAAATTTCAAGAAGAGTGACAGACCTGAGAAAAAGAATATCAATTTCTCACAAAATATTTGATAAAGAGAGGAATAAATTTTAGATTGTTGATTCCAGAAGGAATATTGGTGAATTGGCAAGAGCAAAGATACAGATTAGACTCAACAGAGAAAGCAGAGTCATTTTATAATCAGTACATAGATTTTCAAGAGGAAGAAAGATTGAGAGATGAAAAAGGGGATGGACGACAGGAGAAGAAAGAACAGCCAAGAGAGATAACGAGAGAACAAGAAGAGAGAGTGATAAGGAGCAAGAGCCAAAGAGTTAAAGAACAAAGGGAGATAAGAATGACTAGATCGACAAAACAAGTAAATAAATAAGAAATGGAAGAAGAAATTAAAATAATATCTTTGAATATAAATGGACTAAACTTACATGGATACTTCCAGAGACATTGTTTAAGGAATGGCTTGTTAGCAGTATGGGAGAGAGTAAAAGAAAAACATTATATGGAAATACCAATGTGGCTTTCAACAATATTTATTGTTTGTTTGTTTGTTTGTTTGTTTGTTTGTTTATTATTTATTTATTTATTTATTATCAGATTTATATACCGCCCTTCTCCCGAAGGACTCAGGGCGGTGCACAGCCAAATTAAAAACATAAATGCAAACATTAAAATACAGTTAAAAAGATATATATGCGTTTGGCCCCATAGTTTTAAAAAAACAATAACAAACCTATTAAAAACATTTAAAAATGTGTTAAGCCAGCCCAGCTTGCTGAAAAAGAAAGGTCTTTTTTTTTTTTATTAAAGAGTTTTACAAAAAGAAAAACATTTTTTACAAGTATTTCCCCATCCCCCCTCCCTCCTTACCTCCCCCCCCCCACACCCCTGAATTTCCCAGAACAAAATGCAGGGTATAACAATTAACAATCATATGCTAAGCTAAGCTAATTAACTAAGGATTCCTATCCCCCCCTTCACACTTTAACTCTCCTTTTATAGCTCTACACTAACTAAATATAAATACTCTTAATTTTTCTATTCATTCATAAACTATTTGATACTTTTTAGTCCGATATTTGTTTTGAATATAATCAATCCATCTTCTCCATTCCGATATATATCTTTCTTGCGAATGATCTTGCAAATATGCTGAAATCTTCACCATTTCTTCCAGGTTCACTACTTTTAATGTCCATTCTTCAATAGTAGGCAAATCTTCCTTCTTCCAATATTGCGCCACCAAAAGTCTAGCTGGTCTTAAGGGCACGGCTGAAGGCACCGAGGTCTTGGATTCTTCGTATCTCTGGGGGCAGCTGAAGTATTGATACATCCAAATTTAATTAATATGGACAATATTGTAAGATACAAGGACATTTTAACACAGAAGGGAGAACTAAAACAGAAACAAGATTTAGAAAAACAAGGGACTGAGACTGATTGGTATACATGGCTGCAGATACAATCAAGATATGATAAAGATTTGAAACAATAGGGTTGTCAGCATTCTAGAAAACCCCCAACTCCCAGTAAAGACGCAGAAGCAGGCATTTTCCAAAGTTCTCTTTACTAACAATAGGTAAACTGGCACATCTGGGAAATCCCGAAACTGAAAAGCCCAGGCTTTCCTTCAATAATACAAAGCTCCCAAAACCAACCCCTTTCTCCCCAATAGGTCACATGCTCCAATCACCATCGGTTTCAAGAAAACCTCCCTGGATCCAGCTGTTTTAGCAACTTATTATCCAGTCTCCAACCTTTCTTTCTGGCGAAGGTTGTTGAGAGTGTGGTGGCACGACAGTTTTCCCAGTA